GTATATAAACCTAGAAAATGAAGAAGGTACAAGGCCTTCACCAACCTGCTGTTCAGTGACACCTTCAACAACAGCTTGAGGCATTTTCTCTGGAGCAGGTAAAACCAGATATTAATAGCTTTTAAATAAAAACAAGATCTTAACATGCATACTTTTTGGAAATTTGCTTTTTTTCACCTAATAATATATCTTGGACAGCTTTTTTTCTGTTTATATGGTTTCTACTCTCATTCTTTTCAATGTAAGTTGATTTTCTAAGCAACAAACAAATGGGCTAAGATCATGGCTGGGGAGTGTGAAAAGCTACCATCATGGGCTAAGGACTTACTTCTCTCGTCTCCAAATTCATTTTGCTGTTCTTGTTATTCACTAAAACAACAGGAGGCCACTGGTACATTTTCCACATAAAAGGATTTCCCTAACACCTGGGCAGTGAAGAAGTCCATCCTCAGGCCTATAAAAATGGTGAAGAAGGACTCAAGAAATGACTTCTTTAAGACATTAAAAGTGCTATTCTGGCTCTAACTGGTTTGGCTCAGTGGATAGAGCGTCAGCCTGCGGACTGAAGGGTCCCAGTTTTGATTCCAGTCAAGGGCACATGCCTGGGTTGCAGGCTTGATCCCCAGTAGGGGACGTGCAGGAGGCAGCCAATCAATGATTCTCTCTCATCATTGATGTTTCTATCTCTCTTTTCTTCTCCCTTCCTCTCTGAAATCAATAAAGATATATATCTTTAAAAAAGTGCTATTCTGAAAGCAGTTTGTATTACTATGGTAGGACATCAAAGCATAGTAGTCAGCCATAATGTTTACTGTAAATCTTATTCTGAACATATGGTTAATAAAACAATTTTCTGATTCTGTTCCAAATGACGCACTAGTACCAATATCATTATTAGTATTTGCCTTCAGTGGAATTAGAAAAGTTGCACTCTGCCTGCAAATGCCAGCAGTCAGCTGGTTAGGGGAGCGCGCCTCAGACGGGCCCTGCTCCTAGCCCACTGGGGGCCTCTGTGGCTGCACCAGCAGACCAACACAGTACAGTGGTCCTCCCCAGAATGACACACGCTGCCACCTTGGGAAGGGAGAGATAGATTGCGTGCAACACTGCCTGCACCCCTTTAGTGACCAAGGTTCTTAACTGGGCAGGGTACCTGCTGGTTCTTCTTCCCCCCGCTCCTCTCCATCCTTCAGGCTGTGCTCGCTGAGGTCTGCCACTATACGGCTGCTCTGCTTTTTCCCTTCTTCATCGCCTGATTCTTCAGACTCGACCCGCCTGTCAACTGAACCCACACAGATCAATGAGAATTCCCATCCACACCATGTTCTCTTTGAAGTACATATAACAGACAGACATCCAGTTGCAAGTAAAAAACGCCATTTAAAAACATTTGTTGAATTCGGTTCAATGAACATTTGAGTGTCTTCCATGTCCCAGGTACCATCTGTACAGTGGCAGGGAGATCTGGGGGTGGGTTGGGAAGGGGACAGGGAGGCCACATGGGCATGAAGGTGAGTATCATACTATTCCTCAAGGAGCTCATGAAGAGTCGCCAGGTGTTCTGAATGCCCTGGGATGTTGCGATTAAATATACTAGTGCTAAAACGCAGTGAAGCCTGGATATCCATGTAGAGGGGACCATTGTGACCCTTCCACCACATACCTTCATCCATGCTCCACTATCCATTTGGTCAAGAAAACCAGCCCAGTTCACAGGCCCACGTTCTGAAAGAAATCAAGACTAACTCAAATCAGACTGTGGGCAGGGAGCTCTAATGAAAAAGGAGAAGACAGCCAATAGTGCTAACTGCCCCCCGTAAAGGTCACAGATGCTAACCCTCAGGACATAGTGATGCCAGCCAGCTCAAAGCTTTGAAGAGCTGTCAAGTAATTATTTTTTGAATTAATAATAAGGCAATGATGAAATGTGGCAGATTGGTAAAAATTCATTGGCAAAATTGTAAAATAATGTTCCTTTCTCCTAACTTTCTTCATGACGTCTTTGGAAGTTTGTCTAGAAGCCCCAACGCACTTAGAACTTACTTGGAATCATCAACCACACTGAAAGATTGCGTGTTCCTGAGTCCAGCTTATCTAGAGAGGGAGGGAAGTGCTGTTTCATTTTTGTATCTCCACTGGGCCTAGTAAGGAAGCGTCTAGGAAAGGACTGCTGGACAAAACATATCCCTATGAAATCCACCTCCAAAACCTCCACGTCTGTTCCTCTTCCCTGCCCTTGGCAACTGCTTTGGCTCAGCTACTCATTACTTGTGGCCTGGGCTCACGCTGGGCCTCCTAACTGGTCTTTCTGTGATCTGTCTGACTCTGTCTAATCTATTCTCCATTGTCAGAGAATGTGATCTGATTCTAAAATCCAAATCTGATCTTTGACTCCAAAAACTCCTAAAATGCCAATGGCTCTTCCTGAGTCTACATCTTGACCTTAGAAGCACAGCTTGGCAAGTTACTTCCTTTTCCAAGCTGCAGCCTTCAAATCTGCAGAAGGAAGCTAGTATAGTAACTATATCTTAGAGTTGATCAGAATTAAATTAGAGAAGGCACAGAAGCAGTTAGCTTTTAATAAATAAAAGCAGTAAACAGTTAATAAATTAATTACAGGTATTCCCTGCTTCCCAAAAGTTCACTTTATGCCACGCCATCATTAAGAAAGAACTACATTAGTTCTTTCACTAATGAGAGAACTGTAAAGAGAATTTTCTCTTTCATGAAAAATGTGAAAAGCAAAAATAGCATCGTTTTGTTTTGCAATGAGCTCTAATAGAGGCAGCTTGAACTCCAACCAGCCAGCGTGGCACCACCAAGCTCCTTCCCCAGGGACTATACCCGGCATCTCAGCATCAAGATGCTATAGCTTTGAACTCTATCTGTGAGTGTCTATGCTTCATCTTGATTCTGTGCATCCATTAGCAAGATGTACCCTAAGATAACCGCTTCTTCACTTTATTCCATTTTGGCTTTGAAAGGTTTCACAGGAACATTTCACTTTCAGATACTTGAGGAAACCTGCATTGCCAGCACAAGCACTCTGTGGCCACAGCTAAAGGAGAGCAAGTTCTACTGGGCCAAGATCTGGTGCGGCTCATGGGGGGGGGGGGGGGGTTGGGCTTAGCTAATGAGGGGCAGCCAATGTGAAACCTGGGACTCTATTCTGAGGACTGCAGAGGGTCTGGGGTATGGGACAGGATCAGCATGTGAGGTGACTTTCGGGCACTGGGGCAATGGGCTGGCTCAAGGTATTGGCAGCATGAACAGAAGAGGTTCGAAAATTTGGAGATTTTTATTATTTTGTTAATCCTCACCTGAGGATATTTCTTTTCCCATTGATTTTTAGAGAGTGGAAGGAAGGGGTATAGACAGAGAGTCATCCATGACTTTCTCTTGCCATCCTCAATGGCACTCTCTACCCTCAACCAAAGTGAATGTCACCCTTGGTCAAACTCTCCTCCAAACAGGCCACATTCTTTCACACCCTTTGCCTTTGACTATGTGGTTTCCTTGGCCAGAAATGACCTTCGATCTTTCCTCCAACCTGGCTGAATCGTTAACGTTCAACTTGGAGCTGGCTTTGGTTGTGCAGCCATCTCTCCCGAACATGCCAGCTCTTCCTTCACCGCCCCCGCCCCCTTCTTCCCTGGCATTTACATACGAGACAGATAGGAGGAAACCTGCATGGCCAGGCACAAGCACTGTATCCTCCATGAAACCAGCACATAAGCACACAAGAACAACTGACTCTCCAGCTGGCTTATAACTACATGCATAGATATGCACATCATATTTTCAACAAAGTGGAAGAGTTGAATTTAGTCTTTGCTTAACTGTGATAACTTTGTAAACAGGTACCGGTGTTCTATAACAATCTCTCGGCTGCTTGTCACACTTCCCCACAACCCATTCGCTTTGGAGAGGACCCTGCTCCGCCGCCGCCAAGCTCACGAATGAACCAACTCGGGCAGGTCCCACGGCGCCCTGCCCGTTCCCCGCGGGTCAGGCCAGAGGCTCAGTGCGAGGCTCCAACCAGCTGGTGGGCGCTCGGGCTGCGAAACCACCGCGCCGTCAGCTCTCACTCATAGGCCCGGCTCGCGCTGCCGTTGTCCCCTATGTCCGGGGTCCAGCACCTCCGGGGCTGCCGGGCCTTCCCGGCCACCCCCGCCCCTCCGAGCGGGCCAGCAGTTGTCAGGGACGCGCAGCAGGGCTGGGCCGCGGCCGGAGGCAGGACGCCCCGTGTCTCTCGGGGAAGACCAGTGAGGGTCGCCCCCCCCACCCCAACCCTCTGGGCCCTTCGGTCGCCGCCCCGCCGGGCTGCTCACCCTCCATCATCTCCTGCGACAGTTGCTGGCCCGCGCTGTGCTCCGCCGCCATGTTGACTGCTCTTCCCCTTTCCGGAATTTGTCGCCTCAGGCCCCTCAGCCAATCAGGACTCCATGCTCGGAGTTTTCCCAGCCAATGGAATCCCAGCGCAGGGGTGGCTGAACCTCAACGCGCCTGCGCGGCCCCAGTACCTCATGGGAGTTGTAGTTCATTCCTGAGGACGGCCGCCTGACCTCCCCCGGACAAGTAATTTAAGAACGCCCGTAGGTGTCGAGGCGAGGAGCGGGGGAGAGGGCAGGGACTGGCGAAGTGCACGCACGGAGCCGTAGCTGCAGGCGAGCGGAGAGAAAAATCTGAGCTGTCTCGTAGCGGATCTCTGCGTGGGGCTGCAAAGTGCGGACTTCCAAGCCTCATCAACCGCGCCTGCACAATGGGCTGAATTTGTCCCGGCGTCGCCGCGCGGACTTAGCCTCTGTAAAGGGGCCTCCTCCAGTTAACGCTCAGCTCAGGGCAGGCTCAGCGCGGGGCACCCGCGCTCGTGCTGGGGGCCGACTGCGCCGCAGGTTCTGAGAGAGCCGGTCGAGACCCCGGACGCCGACCCAACACAGGCAGGCGCTGCAGTCTATCGGTCCTCGGCCCCGCAGGCGCGCTTGGCCCGTGAAGGAGTCGTCCCCGCAGCCCCCGCCTCCAGGACGAGGCAGCCGAGAGGCGAGCTCCGCGCTGCTCATCCTTCTCAATTCCGAGAAAGAAGGAACCGGCGACTGCCGGACCGGGTTGGAGGAGGCGCTGGCGCCTCTCAGGCGCCGTAGGAGCCTGGTGCGTCCTTAGCTACCGTTAGCGCGGGCTTCCCCACTCAGGCTCGCTAACTCCCGTCCACAGGAGCCAGTGGTTGGCCTATGGGACCTGTCAATCGGCGTGAGTTGCTCTACGATTGGCCGGCAGGACTGGAGGGGAAGAACGGTTTCCTCGTGGCGGGGTACTCGGTCGGGTGTCGTTCGTCGGCTCCAGGTGAGATACCTGCGCCCTGGAGAGGTGGCCCGGGCTCCGCGGGGCCCCGGCTCGGCCCTGGGATGAGCCAACCTGAGTGCTATGTCCCCGCCGCTGCCGGCTCCCCTCCGTGCGGCTTCGGCCCAGGGGGTGGCCCGCCGTCCTGCGGCCGTTTGTCCCGGGCCCGGGCCTCCCTGGTCCTCCGCGTCTCCTCTGCCCAGCCCTTCCCGCGCTCAGTCCTCCCCTGGAGTTAACTGTGCGCTTTATCCATGATCATTGCCTGCCTCGGGGAAGGTGAGCTCTAGAACCGAGGCCGTGTCTGGCTCAGCTGCGGACGGTGCCAGGCACGTAGGAGCTTTTCAGTAAAAGTGGGATGAATGCGTGAGCTGTGGGTACAGACCACGGCTTCCCGACATCTTCACTTGGATGTCCCAAGCACGCCCGGCTTTCTCCTTCATTTTACCTTCACCAGTGTTTCTTTTCCAGAGAATGGCAGTGGCCTGCGTTGAAAACTCGTGATGTGGTCTTGATGCCTTTCATTCCCTCACCTCATCACCCAGAAAATCGATGGTAGTTTTATGTCAAGTGTTTTCTTAAGGGTACCCTTCGCCATCTTTCTGCTATTGCTTTCATTTCAGACTTCATAATTTCTTGCCTGGATTACTGTAACCTTTCTCTCCCCATCTCCCCCGACCCTTGCCCTTGGAGTGATCTTCATGAAATGTGTGTCTGGTCTTGTTGTTCCCGAGCATAGAGGCCATTAAAGTGAATCTTAGGGATGAAATCCAGACTGCTTGGGCAGGCCTAAGGGGCCCTGGGAGTTATGCCTGGCTACTCCTTCCCTATGCCTGGCTACTCCTTCCCAAGGGCTGTGGGCATCTTTGACCTGTGGTGGTTCTGCCTGGAAGGCTTATACCCTCTGCAGTGCCTCCTCGAGGAACCCCTTGCTTACACCCTCTGTTACAGCAGCCGTTGTCCTGGGTATTGTTCAGGATGCTTGATGCAAGAAAAAGACACAGTCTTTGAGACATAGTCTGAAAATGGCTCTGACGGCCGATAAAGTCATTGGCCCCCAAACCTGCAGTCCAGAGGAAGGTAGATTTTAGGGTGGGTTCATTGCTGGTGCACAGTGATGTTCTTGCCATCTTCTGCTCTGCTGGCCACGTGTGGGCTTCATCCTGAGGCTGGTTCTGCTCTTGGTTGTACAGCAGTGGTGGGGGCAATTGGAGCTATTTGCTTCCTAGTTTGTGTTCTAGTGGCACAAAGATGGTTGCTTCCAGAAGTTCACCCATAAGAGGAAGGAGTGCTTTCCAAAAGTTCCCTGCAATGCTCTCCTTGTTTCTGTTTGGTCTGAGCAGGGTCACTCACACCTTCTGGAATCAAAACTGGCAACAGGAATAGGATTATTCTAAGGCCGTGGTCGGCAAGCCACGGCTGACAAGCCACATGCGGCTCTTTGGCCCCTTGAGTGTGGCCCTTCCACAAAATACCACGTGCGGGCGCGCACATACAGTGCGATTGAAACTTCATGGCCCATGCGCAGAAGTTGGTATTTTGTGGAAGAGCCGGTATTTTGTGGAAGAGCCACACTCAAGGGGCCAAAGAGCCACATGTGGCTTGAGAGCCGCGGTTTGCTGTGCCACAGTTTGCCGACCACTGTTCTAAGGCATCATGAAGTCCTCTCTGTGTTCAGCTTCCCATGATAATCCCCCTTCACTCTGGTCCCCACACCACGACCCCAATACCAAACTGCCATTGCTTAAAAAAAAACTATTCTAAATACCTAGGCCTGGACTTGCGCACAGTTCTGGTTGCTGTTTGACTCAAAATTAACCCTGAGAAAAGGAAGTGATCTACAGTGGTGTGAAGTCAAGCTCTGTGCTCAGAGGCCAGAGGCCCTAGTCCCTGGGGTTGGGATATGCCGTGCAGTGCCAAGCTGGCCCACGAAGGACCACAGCAGTGCAGGAAGCACAAAGGGAAAAGGATTTGTCTTTCCCACATCTGCTGGTTTATCAGTTTAAGACTAATTATTTCTTTGCATGAAAGGCAAAATTTCTTGCCCTTATGGAGGCTTCACATTTCCTTCCCCCCTAACCCCCCTTGTTACTTTTACAAAGTAAAGTTTTGTAACATTTACAATGTAAGTCTGAAGCTGTAATCAAGTCTTCTGTGTTTTGTCTGTAGATTGGTTGAAGAAGTAGAAAACTAGGATCATGTCATAATTACTTATAGAAATTATTAGAGACATTAAATATTGCTATTTGAACAAAAGCAATACATTCTGAGGGTTTCTTATTTAATTTCTTTCTAGCTTCCTACTCATTCAGCTGTTGCTTTTCAGGATCCCATGCTGGATGTATATGTGTATATAAAATGTCTCTGAATCTTTAGTACGTACAGTTGCCTCATACAAAAGAATAAATGCAGTATCAGTTGTGAATCATAACAGTAAAGTGAACCATTTAAACCCGCCACCCAAATTTGGAACCAGGGGACCCTATGCCATTGTGTCCTTCCTTACCATGCCAGCTCGTTGCTGGACCCACAGAGGAAACCTCTGCCTGAAGTTTGGATGATGCAGCTCTGGGTGGGCGTGTCTCCTGGGCCCTATGACTCCTCGCTTCTCAAGCCCCTGGTCCAGGCCTCTAGGCAGTTTTTCTGTAGTTACATAAGATGTAACCATCGGAGGAAACCCAGTGAAGGCCATGTAGAATTTTTCTGTATTTTTTTTCTTATATCTACATGAAAATCCACAAATAACTAAAAATAAAAAGTTCAAAACATAAATCTCGGCTGTGGTGCATCTCTAGACACTCAGCCTTGGCCTTACATTGCTATGTTTTTAGAAGCTCCGTGGGTGATTCGGGTGCAATTGGTTGGACCCATCTGATTCATGGCATTGATAACGTTCCTCTTGATCTGAGAGCATTTTCAGTTCTGTGACCTGCAGCCCAGTCTTCCCCTCGGCCCTCTCCCACTCTGGTCCATTTTCCTCTTTTTCTTCTTTCCCATCTCTTCCTGTGTATGCCACTGAAGAGCTCCTTTTAGCAGGACTTTGGTTCAACTATCCTCATGTAGATTTTGACCCAGAGGGCAGTTGGGTGTGTGAGCCTTTTGGGGCTGAGCTTAACGCAGCCTTGGGAATAATTACTTGGTTAAACTGTCTTTGCCTTCTTGCATTGCAGATGTTGATTAGGGTCTCCTTGTTTTCTAGTTGACGGCTGTTCCACGGCCTACCATCTCTCAATGGAGGACAGAGGCTCACCCGCCTTGGAAAAGGACTGGAGGTGTCTGTGTGGGAACCCATCCTCGTTGGCACCCTCTGAGGGCCCTGCTGTGCAGACCTCCCCCCAGCTCAGCAAGTCTGTGTCCTCGGCCCACAGACACCTGAACAGAAGGAATGGGCTCTCGAAACTCTGCCAGAGCAGGATGGCACTCTCTGGTGACTACCTCCTTGTGGTCATGTGGGCATCTCGTCTCTGTTCTTGCAGAGACAGGTGTAGGTTTAGGTGCTCTGTGCACTGGCCAACTATGCCGCACGTCTTTCCTGGTGTGTCTGTTCATGAGATTCTTAGGAAACTCTCCTTTTCAGGCAGCGGTTGGAATTCTCTACATTTCAGGATTAAATTAAAGCAAAATATCATCTCTTACTTCAGAGTGTGGGGAACACTGTCCTGGGCTGGGCTGCATTGCAGGTGAGACACAGATTTAGCTCAGCCAGTACCTACTGACTGCACTGCAGGCTCAGGCTCTCCTGGACCCGGGCAGAGCAGACCAGGTGGGGACAGCCAGCTTCACAGCTGTGGTGGGTGGGGGTGCCAAAGCCCAGACACAGCAAGGAAGAAAGGGTTGTTCTGCCTTTGAGGGGCTTGTCTTCTGTAGGGGATGGGGGGCAGGGGTGCTGCTTCAGGAGACAGCAGGGTCCACCCTAGAACCTGGGTGGGCCTGGAACACAGGGATGTTAGGACAGTGGAGAGATGGCAGGGAGCCAGAGATGGGTGCAAGGGAGAGAAGATGGGCCCGGTTTTGAGGAAAGAGCAGTTGACAGAGGGGGGCTGGGGGTCATGAGGCAACCACCCCTCAGGACTGGGCGTCAGCCAGGTGCGCTGGCCCAGGGATGGGGCATTCGGGAGCAGAGGCAGAGCTGGTGCCACAGTGTCTGTTCCAAGGTGCGAGGTAGTGGAGCTGACCTTGGGCTCCTGATCTGATGAGGCCACTGAGAAGGTGGAGGCTCCTCAGTGAAGGACCCAGAGGGGATAGGAGGGTGACTCTTTTTAAAAAAATATATATTTTATTGATTTTTTACAGAGAGAAAGGGAGAGGGGGATAAAGAGTTAGAAACATTGATAAGAGAGAAACATCAATTTAGCTGCCTCCTGCACACTCCCTACTAGGGATGTGCCCGCAACCAAGGTATATGCCCTTGACTGGAATCGAACCTGGGACCCTTCAGTCCGCAGGCCGATGCTCTATCCATTGAGCCAAACCAGTTAGGGCGGAGGGTGACTCTTGTTTGGTTTTCAATCGCCTAGAGCCGTGATCGGCAAACTGCGGCTCACGAGCCACATGTGGCTCTTTGGCCCCTTGAGTGTGGCTCTTCCTAAGCCTTAGGAATACCCTAATTAAGTTAATAACAATGTACCTACCTATAGTTTAAGTTTAAAAAATTTGGCTCTCAAAAGAAATTTCAGTCGTTGTACTCTTGATATTTGGCTCTGTTGACTAATGAGTTTGCCGACCACTGCCCTAGAACAGTGGTTCTCAACCTTGGCTGCACAATAGAATCACCTGGGAATCTTTTTATTTTTTTATTTTTATTTGAGCCATGGCAGTGGTGAGAGGCTGGGAAGGGGAGGGGCAGGGTGCTGTACTGAGGGCAGGCACTGCAGGATGTGGGAGCAGCTGAGGGGAGCCACTGGAGGTATTGCCAAGAGCAGACTTTTTGGAGGTGAGGAGTGACCAGTTCAGCAGAATGGAGGGCGGGGAGTGGAGACAGCAGATAGTACTTGGATTAGTGAACTTCTGGGAACAAGTGATAGGGCAGCAATGGATTCTGGAATGACGTACATGGGAGAGTGCCCCTTGGCTGGCTGGTGGGAGTGTTATTTGCACAGAAATGTTGAGCTCTGAGGGACACAGCTCTGCTGACTATGGAGCCCTTGGACTCGGAACTGTTAGCATATGAATCAACTCTATAGGTTAGTCATTTTGCAGGGGTTGGGGGTGAGGGCTGTGGGCTTTGTGTGTTTCAGAAGCAAGCTCCTGGCAGCCAGGGACTCTAAAGCTTCCTTTTCTTTTCTTTCCAGAAGACAGATGGTCCTCCTATTGTCTCTCGTCATTGGCTGCCCAAAACATCTGCACAGGGAAAGTGCAGTGCACAGCCATGGCCGAGCAGGCGGACCCAGCCGGGTTCCTGGGCAGCATGTCCTGCTGCTCATTGCTGCGTGGCTTGTCCTCTGGGTGCTCCACACCCCTGCTCCCAGCCCCTGCGGGCAACCCCAACAAGGCCATCTTCACGGTGGATGCCAAGACTTCAGAGGTATTTGCTGCGCTTTGTGATGCAGCCATGGATTTGGGGTCTGTGCCTTCAACCTGTAATCTCAATTAGAGGTATTTGTGCGTTTAAGGGCAACTAGAAAAATGTTTGGTTTTACTTCTATAGTGACAACAGAGATGAATTCGGAGACCTAAATGTGACTCAGTCAATCACATTGACTCGGAGAGGATGAGACCTGTTATTTACTTGTGCTTGCTGAAGTGTTGGCTGAACTGAAATAACACTGTTCAATATTTGAGCTAAATATGTTGGCATGAATGCACATTTTTATACACAAAGAACTGAAACTGTTGGAAGTGTGGCGCATGTCCCATCACTGCCTCCTGGTCTTGATGATATGCCCATCTTGTCAGGGGACACTCTCCTTTCCACTTGGTCAGACACGGATATCCTGAGAGCGTCTGTGTGAGCCTGCCCACAGTAGATGGTGGGGAGAGGATGGGTCTCCCTCCCCTGAGGGTGCCCAAGCCACCTTCTTCTCACTGCTCCGGGAGTTAGAGATGCTGCTGGTGATGCTGGTGTCTTCTCTCTGCCACACTCAGATCCTGGTTGCCAACGACAATGCTTGCCGGCTCCTGGGGTACAGCAGCCACGATCTCATCGGCCTGAAGCTCACGCAGTTCTTTCTGAAGCCAGACTGCGATGTGGTGGAAGCGCTCAGCGAGGAGCATGTGGAGGCTGATGGCCATGCTGCCGTGGTGTTTGGCACAGTGGTGAGTCCGGGCTTGTGGACTGCTGCCAGCTGGAATGTGCAGCCTGGGGAGCAGCAGGGGGGTGGCGAGGACACCACAGGAACAGAAGCCACTGCTGCTGGCCTGGCGCTGCTCATTTGGGAGCAAGCCTGACAGCATCTGCAAACCTGTAGACACCACCTCAGGTTCCCGAGAGAGAAACATGTTTTTACTTTTTGGTGGTGTTGGGGGGTCTGGCTTGTGGGATGTGTCCAGCCCGGATTTTGATGGGTTGAACTGCATGTTAGATGCTGAGCCCTGGGTCTCAGGCACTGGAAGATTAGACGGCATCTAATACCCTGGAAAAATTACCTGTCCTAGGGACTGTGTCTGTTTCTTTAAGAAATTACAGATGCCGCTGATAATAAAATCTACTCTTTTGGTAGAACTTTCACTCAGATTGTAAAGTTCAGTGTCAGAAACCTTGTTTGTACTTTATTTACACAAAGTACAGGCAGGTGAGCAGAGCTTGAAAATACCATGTGCCTGGAATGGGGCGGGCCTGGCCGATGGGGGAGGGGTAGGCTGCAGGTGCAGCTTGTCCCTGTCCACAGGTGGACGTTGTGAGCCGAAGCAGTGAGCGGATCCCAGTGTCCGTGTGGATGAAGAGGATGAAGCAGGAGCCCCGCCTGTGCTGTGTGGTCGTGCTGGAGCCAGTGGAGAGGGTCTCAGCCTGGGTCTCTTTCCAAAGTGATGTAAGTTTCGCAAGTTTGACCTCACGTCTTCTCCCCAGTGCATCACACAGACTGTTCCTACCATGTGCGTCTAGGCAGCAACAATGAGGGTTCTGGAGGTTGCCCCCATCTGCTGAGTCCTTTAGTAATTATGTTCTTGGGCAAGGAACCTTATCTCCCCATGCCTCAGTTTCCTCATCTGCCAAATCAGGATATAATTGTAACCACTCATGGGATTGTTTTAACACTTCAATAAAATAGTATACGTAAAGCCCTCAGGATGGTGGCTGCACACAGACAGCATGCAGATGTGAGCTGTGGACGTGGTCATTGTACTAGCTGATGAGCTTCTGCAGTGTGCTGGGCTCTGCAGATGCCTCCAGATTGAACAGTTTAGGTCCATGTGGCAGGAGGAGCCAGCTGACCTGTTGTTAGAAGTCCATTTGTTATGTATCTTTTGCAGGAGGAGTAGCTTGAAGGTGTCACTGAGGTTCAGTGAAGTTTGAAGCTGAAGTACAAGAAGCTGTTATTATAGTCAGTCAGTGTAGCTCAGTGGTTGAGTGTCAACCTATGAACCAGGAAGTCATGGTTTGATTCCTGGTCAGGGCATGTGTCCAGGTTGCAGGCTTGGTCCCCAGTAGGGGGCATGCTGGAGACAGCTGATCAATGATTCTCTCTCATCACTGATGTTTCTATCTTTCTCTCTCTCTCCCTTCCTCTCTGAAATCAATAAAAATATATTTTAAAAAAGAAGCTGTTATTATAACACTGGCTTTTCCTCCAAGGGAACGATCACATCGTGTGACAGTGTCTTTGCCCATCTGCACGGCTACGAGTGTGGAAACGAGGTGGCTGGGCAACGCATCACAGACCTGATCCCTTCCGTGCAGCTCCCTGCACCTGGCCAGCCTCTCCCACAGGTGGGGTCCTGACCCCCTGCCCTGCCTTCCCTGGGAGACTGAGGGAGGGAGGAGGGTGTAGGGAGCTGGATGTTGAGGTGCCCCCATGCCAGGCATGTGATAGATGATCTAAAGCAGCAGAGACTTAGAGCTCAGTGATGAGATGCCATCTGTTCAGTGGTGCATCTTTCTTTCAGAATCTCAAGATTCAGAGGTCTGTCGGAAGAGCCAAGGATGGTACCACCTTCCCTCTGAGCTTAAAGCTGAAACCTAAGCCCAATAGCAAGGAGGCAGAAGCCGGCCAGGCGGCCCCTGAGCAAGGTTACTCGGCGTCCATCTGGGTGTTCTCCACCATCAGCGGCCTTATCACCCTCCTGTCGGATGGGACCATCTATGGCATCAATCACAGCTTTGCACTGATGCTGTTTGGTTATGGGAGGACCGAGCTCCTGGGCAAGGTGGGCATGGCTGGCCACTCCCTGTGAGGAAGCTGGTCTGGGTCTCACAGTGAAGGTGTGCATTGGTCCCTGGCCCTGTGCATCCACATCTTCCAGTTCGGCTGCTGGCTTCACTGGGGGGCATGCGGGTTGAGAGGGATTCCTTGCTCATGGTACCACTTTCCTGCTTGATTTTTCTAGACCCGACTGAGCATTCTGACCCTCTGGACCATCTCCAGAGCCACCCCAGCAGAGGGAAGGAGCTCTTGCCTCAAAGCTTCATCCCTATCGAGTCTGGTCTAAGAGACTGGACCAGGGTGTGTGTCACAGCTGTGGGCATTTGCTCTGAACCCTCAGGTCGGGGCTTGTCTGCTTCTCCCCTGACAGCCCTGGGGGTTACTGGGGAAGCCTGCTGTTCAAAGGAAGGTATTTCTGTGACCACCTTCCTTGGTTGAGCTTTCTCTCAGTTCCTTGCACATGGGAGGTAGAAGTCTCCACACACCAGGGGCCAGGCTCCAGGGGTGCTACTACCCCTTTTTTCTTACCCAAGACTACTGAGTGGTCCTGTGCCAGTTATTGCAAAAAACCTCCTCAAACTTAGTGCCCAGGTGACAATCATGTGTTCTGGTCATAAATCGGTCCTTTGAGCTGAATTGTAAGTGGAACAGCCATTCTGTTCCATGTGGTGTTGGCTAGGGGTGATGTCCTCCCGGGGCTCATGGTTCAGTTGAAGTTAATGGAGACTTAGTTGGCATGATTTTTGGACAAGGGTTTTCGTGGGAGTGTTGAGGACAGCAGGTCCCTTCAGGGAGGGTGTGTGTGGGTAAGAGCATGTTCTGGATTCACGTGACCAAAGGCAGCCCGGGAGTCGGGGCCACATGCAGACCAGAGAAAGTGTCTGTCCTTGCAGTCCTGGGCCCAGGACCCTCACACTGGGGCCATGGTCGGTGCAGCACATGCCCCTGCTGGATTCTGGGGGTCAATATCCTACTGCCCGAGGCCCTTTGTCCTTTTATGCCAGGACATTGGAGTAGGAAGCTTGTAAACATGGGCTCCCAGGCCTGAGGAGAACATGGGACAAATTCAGAAAATGTGTAGATATCTGAATAATTAGCTTCAGAGTGTGTTAGTTTTCTCTTTTCACAAGAAAAAGGCAAAAAGTCATGAATTCCATGTTGAGCATTAGAGGATTTCAGGCCTTTCAGGGAAATCTGACTTGGTCTCCCTCACCTGGAGGAATGATACCCCAGAGACTGGGCACCTTGTTTCCGTCTCCCTCTCCCCCCAGAAGGGATGGTGGGTGGTGTAGCAGGTCTGGATTCTCTCCTGTTCTGAGCACTGCTGTTTGTTTTCTAGAACATCACTTTCCTGATCCCTGGTTTCTACCGTTGCATGGACCTTGTAAATGAGGGCTCCTTACCACTGCCAGACCTGGTCAGCCGCCTGGACATGGGAAACAGGAGTGAGCCTGGGGAAACGACCGTGGACCCCCTGCAGGGCTGGAGCACGGCTGAGGGTGAGCCTGGGGCCTCCTCCAAGGAGCCTGCCTGAACCTCCACTGGGGACAGGAGGGATCTGGGGCTTGGGTGTGTCAGGTGGAAGGGGGAGAGATCGGGGATTGTGTGTGTGGATTCTGTGTTCCTCTGTTTCTGATGGGCCTTCAGTGTTTCCTGGGGACAGGACATGTGTATGTCCCACTAATGTGTTAGCAGAGAAAGGACCAGAACTTCCCCACGTGCCTGTCATAAGTTCCCACAGGCCTGTATATAGGATGCCATAGCTAATTGACTGTCTTTTGTAAATAAGTCTATGTAGCTTTATGTAGTTTGAGGTCTGATGTAGCATATCAAGTTAACCTGATGTAAAACAGTCACTGTAGGATTTCTTTATCTTGTTAATTACTGCATTTTTTTAAAAAATCCTCACCCAAGGAGTGAGGATATTTTTTTGAGGATATATTCATTGATTTTATAGAGAGTGGAAGGGAGGAGGGAGGGGGAAAGGGAGAAAGAGGGGAGAGAGAGATAGAGAAAAAGATTGATGTGACAAAGACACATTGGTTGGTTGCCTTCTACACACACCCCGACTGGAGGGCGGGGATTGGATCTGCAACCCAGGTACGAGCCCTTGACCAGCAATCGAGCCCTTTAACCATTGAGAATGTTGGCCAGGGCAATCACTGTGCTTTTAATTTTTTTTCAATTCTCACCTGAGGACGTGCTTGTTGATTTTAGAGAGAGGGGAAGGGAGAGAGAGACGAACGATTGATGTGAGAAAGAAACATTGATTTGGCTTCCCATAGGTGCCCTGACTGGGGATCAAACCCACAATCTAGGTATATGCCCTGACCAAGAATTCAACCCACAAACTTTGAGTATACCGGACGATGCTCTAACCAACTGAGCCACACTGACCAACGCCCCTGTAATTTTATTTTAACATTTAAAAAAAATATATTTTTATTGATTTCAGAGAGTAAAGGAGAAGGGAGAGAGGGATAGAAACATCAATGATGAGAGAGAATCATTGATCAGCTGCCTCCTGCATACCCCACACTGGGGATTGAGTCCACAATCCAGGCACGTGCCCTGACTGGGAATAGAACTGTGACCTCCTGGTTCATAAGTCAATGCTCAACCACTGAGTCATGCTGGCTGGGCTAACTTAACATTTAAGATTACTCCCACACCTGCCCCGAGTCACACTCTATGACTTTGTTAGTGTCCAGTGAGGACTAAGAGCTCACAGCTCCTGCCCTGAGTGATTCCTACCGTGGAGCTCAGGGCGGTGGCAGCAGCTTTAGCTCTAGTTGAATGGGGAAGGAGTGGGGCACTCTGCAGCCTCCTGGGTGCTCACCTTCCCTTGACAAGGAGCAAGGAGTTGCACCCCACACACTCCCTGGCAGCCTTCTCACTGCCCTCAGTGGGCGGGCGGGCTGGGTGCAGTTCTGGAAGGCTAGCAGGAGTCAGGTCACAGGGCTGTGTGGTCATCTTAGGGATGGTGTCTTTTATATCGAGTCAGAGTGGAGCCCTTGGAGGGCTGTGGGCCGATGAGGGACCTGATCCAATTGCGGTGTTAGTGGGATCATGCTGGCCAAGTGCAGGGCCCAGGGCAATACAGCAGGGTGGGCAGAGGGTACTGGCCTGGACTGGGTGTCTGTGAGGTGGCTAGAGGTGACCGGATCCGGGACAGGCTTTGAACGTGGGGCAGATAGAGTTTAGTAGATCAGGTTATCTCCTGTTGCCTCATGCCCTTGAGTCACTGGGAAATGAGGAGCTTTGTCTCAGCAGGGTTGCTTGCAAATGGAAAACATTCTTTTCTGCTGTTGTTGCTAGATCCAGGGATTAATGTCATGCTCGCTGTTGACCACATGCTGCCCCCAGACAGGACCCCAAAGCCAGCGGGAAGCCAAGAAGTTGTCACAGGGACCCAGACCCAAGTGGACACTGGAGTCCGGCTCCCTTCTCCCCTCTCATCTCTGCCCACTCTGGGGTAAGTCCTCTGGAAGGTGCAGGTTACTTGGTGCTCCTAGCAGCCTCTGTGTGATTACCCGCATTTTACCTGGAAGGAAACCTTTAGGTAGGTTCCAGGTAACTGATATGAGCACAGTTTTCTCATTTTAAAAATTATATGAATCTGTTCTCTTTGTGTGCGTTAAGTAACAAAGTATTTTATTTAAAGAAAGTACGTATTAGGGAATTTGGTAAAATGAGAAACATAGAAATAAAAAATGCCCCTTTCAGTTACCACATCCTATTGTGCATAGCATTTTGGTGTGTTTCAACCAGTTTTATCCTTAAAAATCTGATGCGTAGCACACAGTAATGCGCCACACAAGGGTGTGCGTGTGCCTGGCCTTTCTGCTCTGCCCAGGACTCAGTGCCCTCAGTGCCCTAGGGCCTGGATGCAGGTCATAGGGCTGTCTTTGAACTTGACCTATGCATTCCCTATGTCTGATTTCTCTTGCTCATTGTTGTGTCTGGGAGATTTATCCACATTGTTGTGTTTTCCAGTCTTAAAATTATTTCAAAAATATGTAATATGTGAATGAATGTGCGCTTTTCGAAAGTACAGAAGAATAATGGTAAAAAGCAAATGTTCTGTGACTATCTCCCAATCTTTCTGAGAGGGAACCACTGTCAGCAGTTGTATTCTTCTAGTCCAGTGGTCGGCAAACTCATTAGTCAACAGAGCCAAATATCAAGAGTACAACAATAGAAATTTCTTTTGAGAGCCAAATATCAACAGTACAACGATTGAAATTTCTTTTGAGAGCCAAATTTTTTAAACTTAAAATATATAGATAGGTACATTGTTATTAACTTAATTAGGGTACTCCTAAGGCTTAGGAACAGCCACACTCAAGGGGCCAAAGAGCCGCATATGGCTCTCGAGCCGCAGTTTGCCGACCACTGTTCTAGACTATTTCCCTGTGCACTTAAATATAATATACTAAAGGCCCAGCGCATGAAATCGTGCATGGGTAGGGTCCCTAGGGCTAGCCTGTGATCAGGGCTCTCTTCCGCCTGCTAGCCAGTCCCCAGTGCCGACCCGCCACCACCCACTCTGGTTCCTTCCCCGTGGTTTTCCGTTTGCCAGATTGGAGCCTGCGGGCCAGCGGGGAGGGACCAAGAGGTCTTCCTTCCGCCTGCTTGCCAGTCCCCAGTCCCGCCCTGCCGCCAACCACCCTGGTTCCCTGGTGGTTCCCCTTTGGCCATCCAGCAGTCGGAGCCTGCAGGCTGGGGGGAGGGACCGAGAGGTGGTCAATGCACCTCATAATGACTGGTCGATTGATCGTTCTGGTCGCTGGCCTTTTATTATATAGGATTATACATGTGTGCTCATATAAAGCTGCCCTGTTCCTTTAATAGATCACTCTGGTGCATGTTGTGCTCCCTGTGCGCATGCACACATGCACACACTCATGTACACAAATAGGGTCACACTGTACATGTTGTCTTCCGTGTATACATGCACACATGCACACACTTGTGTGTGTCTTGAAGATTTTTCTCTGTGGTGCTACCTCAGAACCAGCTTTCTATGTAACACCAGAGTTCAGGTCGATGTTTTCTTGTTGATAAGTGTTCCAGCTGTTTCCTGTCCTTTGCTTAGGCTCCCTGGCTTCTTCTACCTTAACTGTGGTGTCCACTCTTGGTGTTTTTTGCTGGGTTTTTTTGACATTTTATTTTATTTTATTTATTTATTTATTTATTTTACAATTCTTTTTTTTTAAATTAAATCTTTATTGTTCAGATTATTACAGTTGTTCCTCTTTTTTCCCCCCATAGCTCCCCTCCACCTGGTTCCCACCCCACCCTCTGCCCTTACCGCCCCCCGCCCCCACTGTCCTCATCCATAGGTGTATGATTTTTGTCCAGTCTCTTCCCGCACCCCCCACACTCCTTTCCCCCCCGAGAATAGTCAGTCCACTCCCTTTCTATGCCCCTGATTCTATTATATTCACCAGTTTATTCTGTTCATCAGATTATTTATTCACTTGATTTTTAGATTCACTTGTTGATAGATGTGTATTTGTTGTTCATAATTTGTGTCTTTACCTTTTTCTTCTTCTTCCTCTTCTTAAAGGATACCTTTCAGCATTTCATATAATACTGGTTTGGTGGTGATGAACTCCTTACCTTTTCCTTATCTGTGAAGCTCTTTATCTGACCTTCAATTCTGAATGATAGCTTTGCTGGATAAAGTAATCTTGGTTGTAGGTTCTTGGCATTCATCACTTTGAATATTTCTTGCCACTCCCTTCTGGCCTGCATAGTTTCTGTTGAGAAATCAGCTGACAGTTGTATGGGTACTCCCTTGTAGGTAACTGACTTTTTTCTCTTGCTGCTTTTAAGATTCTCTCTTTGTCTTTTGCTCTTGGCATTTTAATTATGATATGTCTTGGTGTGGTCCTCTTTGGATTCCTTTTGTTTGGGGTTCTCTGCGCTTCCTGGACTTGTAAGTCTATTTCTTTCACCAGGTAGGGGAAGTTTTCTGTCATTATTTCTTCAAATAGGTTTTCAATATCTTGCTCTCTCTCATCTTCTGGTACCCCTATAATTCGGATGTTGGTACGCTTGAAGTTGTCCCAGAGGCTCCTTACACTATCTTCATATTTTTGGATTCTTTTTTCTTTTTGTTTTTCCAGTTGTGTGTTTTTTGCTTCTTCGTATTTCAAATCTTTGACTTGATTCTTGCGATCTTCTAGTCTGCTGTTGGAACTCTGTATAATATTCTTTATTTCAGTCAGTGTATGCTTAATTTCTAGTTGGTCCTTTTTCATAACCTCAAGACTCTCACTAGATTTCTTGAGGGTCTCACTAAGTTTATCGGCGGTTTCTAGAGAATTCTTGAAAAACCTTAAAAGTGTGGTTTTGAACTCTATATACAGTAGTTTGCTTTCCTCCATTTCTGTCATTTGTGACCTGTTTCTTTGTCTCCGCATTTTTTATCCTTCCCTATGTTGATAGAGTGGCTTTGTGTGCTAGGTGTCCTATAGGGCCCAGTGGCTCAGCCTCCCCAATTACCTGAGGTGGACACTCTTGGTGCACCCCTTTGTGGGCTTTGTGCACAGTCTTGTTGTAGTTAAGCCTTGATTGTTGTAGGTATCACTGGGAGGAATTGACCTCCAGGCCAATTGGCTGTGAGAATCAGCTGTGTCTGCAGTGGGAGAACTTCTGTGCTGGAGACACCCTTCTGGGGCAAGACTTGCTTCAGTGGGGCTTTGGTGCTCACTGAGTCTGCCCCCTGAGTGTGTCCCTTATGGATCTGAGGAGTTGTAATCTGGATGGTCCCACTCTGACCACTAGGTACACTGGCTCTTGGATCTCTAAGGAGGTGCTAATTTAGCCTCTGCCTGAGGCTACCCAGCAGGAGCTATGGAGAGATCTGCAGATTCCTCTTCTTTGTTTGGGGTTTGGAGATGCCTAGATGAGGCCCAGCTGTGAAGCAATGCAAGCTGCTGTGGGGCCTTGGACCTTCTTTTGGAAGTTCTGGGTTTCTCTGACCCAGCTGCAGTTTGTTAGGTAATTTTCAGATTGCAAAGGGCCAGGCCTTCCATATGCAAAAGCCTCTGGGCACAGCTTGGGTGGGGCGGGGTCTCTGGGGATCAACAGGGCGGAGCAAGTGACTATGGCTGCTCCTCAGTCCTACCCTAAGAGGCCCCGCTTCTCAGTGTCCCGGTAATCGCTGCAAGTACCTCTGAGAGAAAGCCGCCGTTGAGTTCTGACTGATGCCAGACAGTCCAGTTTCTCCTGTATGAGTCTGGTTCCCCAGAGGCTCGCCTGGAATTGGAGTTCAGAGTAGTCAGGAGCTTGAGACTCCCTCCCGATTGAAAAAGACAACTGTGTCCTCAGTTTCCAGCCCTTTCCACGTGTGCCGCATCCTCAGCTGCCAGCTCTTTCCATGTGCGCTGCGTCCTCAGTTGCCAGCCCTTTCCGTGTGCGCCTCCGTACCTCTGCACTTTACTTCCGCACCTCCTCTGAGTCTCAGTGTGCTTTTCTTTTTCCTTCTAGTTGTAGAATTTCCACTCGGCCAGCCTTCCTGTGGTTCTGGATGATGTCCGTTTTGTCTTTTAGTTGTATTTTTGAAGTGGTTGTGCGAGGCAGCAATTTCCGGTGTTTACCTATGCTGCCATCTTGGTTTCTCTCCACTCTTGGTGTTTTGAGCAGTTAACCACTCTCCTGTTTCATCCACAGACAAGGAGGGAGGCTCTGCCCCAGCAGGCTGTGTGCTACAGGACAGGGTCTGAGAGCGCTTGCTGCGGGCGTCTCAGATGGTGGCATGTTTCGCTCTGCCCTGAGCTTCTTAGGGCCCTGGACAGCTTGTTTTCTGGGATGTGATTATGCAGTGATTCCACTAGATGAGCCCATCCTATGTTTCAGTCAGTTGGTGAGGAAGCAGAGTGGACCCTTAGAGAGTGTAGACCAGATGCTGAGACCCTGAATGAGGCACTCAGAAGCTGGGGGAGGGAGGGTTGTCCTAGGTTCCCACGGCACCCATCACTGGAGGCCGTGTCATCCCCCTGTTTCTCATGGCTTGCAGACTTGGCTGTGGGGAAGCAGGCAGGGTAGGGAGGAGGATAGGGGCCTCCCCATACTTCCTCACTTCTCCATGACCAGAATTTAGTGACAAGGTGACACCTGGCTACTGGGGAGGTGCAGAGTCTGTGCAGAGCTTGGCCCTGGGACCACATCGGAGAGGTTGCCCACCCTGCTTAATAAGGAGAGTGAGACCCTCCTGCCTCAGCTGCTTTCCTGCAGATGGCCTGCAGCTCCTGAGACTGGCATAGGGCTGGTCTCTTGGCATCAATGGATGGATGGAGGTGTAGGTGTAGCTGTAGCAAGAGGGACAGATACTTATTGCTTGGCCTCTGCAGACCCTTTTCCCATCACTCAGGTCCCTGCAGCAACTCCCACTGTCCCTCCAAACTGCTCGCTGTTCCCTCGTCCTGGAGTGGAACCCATCCTGGAGTGGGGTCCTTTGTCTCCTGTGCCTCTCTGTGAACCTCTGGTACATCTACCACATCGCTGGCACGTCTGCCTAAGGAGGCCGGGCATGGCCACCTCCAGTGGTTTTGGTGCCAGTGTCTGCCTGGGGCTGACATCGGTCAGACCACCTGGAAGGGTCTTGACCCAGATCTCCCCACAGTTGCTCTAGCTCAGTGCTCGGCAAACTGTGGCTCGCAAGCCACATGCGGCTCTTTGGCCCCTTGAGTGTGGCCACGAAGTTTCAATCGCACTGTACGTGTTATTTTGTGGAAGAGCCACACTCAAGGGGCCGCAGTTTGCTGACCACTACTCTAGCTGCATGGTGGTAGCCTCTTCCTCAGTGGCCACCCCATGCTGAACATGCTTATGGGGTGGCCACTCAAATCCCTTCTCCCTTTGCTCCCGCCTTCTGTGAGGCTGCTATATACTGCTGACAAGCCTTCAGCACATAGTCCTGGTGCTCTGTGGCTTTGATTAATTAATCATTGCTAAACGTGCATTTATCTGGAAAATATGTGTGTGAGTGCTTTACTTTTTAACTTGGTTACAAAATTTAATCTTTTTTCTGTCATAAGTTTATGTTGTTAAATGCTTTGTACTTTTCTCTAATAGAGGGGCAGTTCACATGATCTCTGTTTTTGACTCTTTTGTGGCTCCTAAGTAACTGTGTTATCTGTATTGTAACCCCAGGGGGGACAGCATCCCAGGAGGAAGCCCACCAGCCCAGGAACAGTCATTGCCTGAGGACCAGTGGAACATTCCAGAAGGAAGCCCACCAGCACAGGAACAGTCATTGCTTGAGGACCAGTGGAACATTCCAGAAAGAAGCCCACCAGCCCAAGTATCGTCATCGCCTGAGGACCAGCAGGACATCCCAGAAGGAAGCCCACCAGCCCATCGCCAGTTGTCATCACCTGAGGACCAGCAGGACACTGTCTTGGAGAAGCAGGAACCTACAGGAACAGAGAGCCTCAGACAGGAGCTTTTGAGGGGAAGCAGGTCTGCCTCAGTGGACATAAGACCCTTTGCTTCCTGTGAAGATTCTGAAGCTCTGACCCCAGCTGAGGACAGGAGCTGGGGTGAAGTGTGTGGACTGTCCCAGGCAGCACAGCTGGAGTGCATGGGTTTGAGCACTGCCAACCATCAGGCTGATGCTGCGGGACAGCTAGCAGAGGTGGGCCTCCCAGTGCTGCACCCTGGGTATGGGGCTGAGTGGAGCACACCCCAGGGGAGCCCAGCTACAGCCGCCAGTCCCTCGGGGCCCTCGGGGACAGCGCGACTCTCATGTTCCATACCTTTGGAGGAGCAGTGGCTGGGAGCGCAGGATGACAGGGAGGAGCTGCAGACTTGCTTACTGAAGGAGCAGCTGTCCAAGTCGAGCTTTGGGAGACCTCAGGATATCTCCTCCATTGAGCTGGTCCCGGCGGAGCATACTGCCTTCTCCACCCCTGTGTCGCTGTGTGACCTGGGAGGCAGAGACCTGTACAGCGGCCACTCCGGCAGCTCCTCAGCCTACTATGCCCTAGCCACAGACCTCCCCGGTGTCTTGGACACAGTGGAGGCCCCAGAGGCTGATGGAAATTCCTTTTTATGGAACCTCAGGGAAGTGTTTTACAGCCGGTGGACAGACCGAACTTCTTCCAACTGTTCCTGTGCCTCATCTGAGCTCGTGGGGACAGCCTCCCCTTCACTGGCTGGCTCCGATGTGGATGTGAGCACTTTGCATGGGCACAGGGCAGAGGTTCTGGATGATAGGGAGCTGTTGTTGCTGACTGGCACCTATTTCAATCTTGGTGAAGGCCGGCAGTTCTGTGAGACCCATCTGGGCCTTAATCAGAGAGAACCATCTGACACCTCAGAATGTGAAGACGTGAGTGGCAGAGAGAGCCCTGGCTGTGTCCTTCCCAGGTTGGAATCCAGCCCCATGGACATGTGCCCGTTAGAGGAGCCCAGGTCAAGCATCCAGGTCACCTCCACGCCTGTGAGAGGGGATAGCTCGGCGACATCCGGGACCACTAGCCTGCAGCAGGAAATCCAGGAGGGCACCTACTTGGGGAGCTGCTGCCACAGAGACGGCTCACTGCTGAGTATGTCCTGGGGGGTTGTCCCTAGAGCGCAGCTGGGTGCAGGGCATCCTCATCCCAGGGTCTGATGGCTCTCCACCCTAGTAGTTCTGGCAGAAGTGATGTATTCAAGGACATGAAGTTACAACTTACTTCTTGCACACCAGGATTATAGCATGCGTTCCCAGGACAGGGAGACCAGGTCCCACTGGGGCTGCAGAGCAGGACGGGGTGATGTCCAGGGCCAGGCTGCTGTATCTCTGACTGGCTTCACTCTGGGAAGGTGTAGGGATCAGGCCCATTCACTAGCCTCTTTGGGGGTGATTGCTTTCCTTTCCTTTTCTTTTTTTTTTTTTTAATACCCAAGGATATTTTATTTCATTTTTATGTATTTATTTTATGTATTTATTTTAGAGAGAGAGGAAGGGAGAGAGGGATGGAGAGGGGGAGAGAAAGAGAAACATCAATGTGAGAGAGAAACATCACATTGCCTCCTGTACTCACCCCGACTGGGAATCAAACCCACAACCTTTTGGTGTACGGGGAGATGTGCCAACCAAGCCACCGGCCAGGGCTTACTTTCTTTTTAATTTTCCTAATTACTTAATAGGTCATATTATTTTAGCCAGTTGCTTATGGTTTTGTGTTGTTGATTCCTAAGGCTTTTTCCCTAAACTTTAAAAACTTATTTAAGTAATACATACGTTATTTTAAAAAACATTTGAAAATATAAACAAAAAGAAAATAAAATCATCTGTAAACACCCCTCCCCCCATAAAAACCTCTTTTTTGGGTATAGGACCTGGAGGCCGTGTAAAAGTGCAGGTGTGCACAAGCGCAGAGCATGTGTAGTTCAGTGTAACTCAGGGACCCACAGCCGGCACGTGTGTGTGCTTCTGCTGGGTCATTCACATGCCTCCACCGAGGCAGAGCCTCCCCGTTGAGGGCAGGTTTTCCAGGCTTTCCTGAGTTGGCAGGTGGTTGCTGGTATCCCTGAAGTGCCTCCCTGGCTCTGGCTGCTGCGGATGTGCCAAGCCGCTGGCTCCATACCAAGTGGAGGTGATGCTGCCGCTGTGCTCAGCCTGGTGCTCTGTGCCCCCCTGCCCTCCTGCCCTGGGTGTTCTGTATGGTTCTGTGCTGCTCAGGGTGTGTGCTTGTTTCATCATGATGCTGTCTTGGTGAAGTCAGCAGAGGGCTGTGCGTTTTCGCCTTCCCCCTCAGGTGTTCAGTTTGAGGTGAAGCGGGTGGAGCTCCAAGGCCCTGCTCCCCTGTTCTGCTGCTGGCTGGTGAAAAACCTCCTGCACGGCCAACAGGCCTCGGCCACTCATACCCAACTGCTGCTGGCCAGCCTGCCCAGCTCCACGCACTCCGCGTGTGAGCATCCTGGACCCAGCCCAGGGGAGGTGGGTATGTGCAGCTTGCTCTGCCTTGTAGTTGCCTGTCTGCATGGAAGTGTCTTCCTATCAGCATCGCTCTCTGTTTCTTCTGGGAAGGATGGGCGGAGGCTTTTTAACTCTGTCTTCTAATGTGCAGGATGGGGTGTGAACATGCTTCAATGTGGGTGCTAATTTGGCTCTCAGGCTGGGTTCCCAGGGGCACGGGAGGAATGGGCTGCACAGGGGTTGGGTGCTGCTGTCCATATAGCTGCAGGGAATGGGGGGTAATGCACCCATCTGCTGCCGCCTCCTTTCTGATGGTTGCATGTGGCCCCTCATACCTTCCTTCACCCACACAGATGCTCAGAAGCAGACCGTGGTTTGAGGAGCCACCCAAGGCAGGGGAGTTGGAGGGGCTGGCAGCCTGTGAGGGTGCATACTCTCACAAGTACAGTACGCTGAGCCCACTGGGCAGTGGGGCCTTTGGCTTCGTGTGGACTGCTCTGGACAGGGATCAGAATAAGGAGGTACTTGGGCCCTTGGGGGTAGGTGGGGCTGGACCACCTCGGGTGGTCCCATACCTCTAGTCCTCGTGTCTGCATGCCGGGACTTAGTGGGTAGTAGTCCTCTGTGTGCAGCGTGCGGCCAGCCCTGCTTGGGGTCTGGATGCTGGGAGGAGGTCTCTTCAAAGCAAACACACTCAGCCCTGGCTGTCCCTCTGGCTGCTTCAGACACCATGAATGGCATCCATGCTCCTTCGTGCATTAGGGCTACATCTTCTTGACTTCCACATTCAGACCTGCAGGGCTTCTTCCCTGGCTGGTGATCCTGGCCATTTCACATATTCTGCTGCTGGATGAGCCTCAGAGCCAGTCCTGTGGAGAGGTGACTGGTAGTTGCCAGTGCGCGTGTGATTTGGGGACGTGGTGACAGTGCTGCCTGTCCCTGCGAACAGTGTCTGGTGTCCCATGCCCAGTCTGCCAAGTCCTGGGAGTGCCATGCTTGCTGGAATTGATCAGAGCTGCATGCCTGGGATGATGCCTGGTCAGAAGTCTGCAACTGTCTTCCTGCTTCTGACAACTGTTCAGTGGGTCCCTAGATGAACGATCATTCCTCTGCGGTCATGACAATTGTCTCTCCTTTTCTGTTTGTGTCTCCTCAACTTTTCTTTTCTTCCCCTCCTGTAACTGGGGCAGGACCTACAGAGCCGGTGAAGTGACAGGTATGCCACGGGCCTCCTGCTGTTCCCCTGCCCTTCGCAGACACCCCTTTTATTTCTTGATGGATACCTTTTGTTTGAGGAGATTTTATTTTCAGTTCATTAAATTGTTTTTTGAGTGTTGAGTTTTATGAATTGTCTTTTCAGCATCTGTTGAGATGACCATGTCTGTGTTTACTTTACTATTACACTTTCAGGGGCTATCATTCATTGTACTCACACCACTTTTCATATATTGATCTTGTGTTCATCAACCTTGCTGAGCACATCTAGTCTCAGAATTGATGTCGATAATGGTTTTTGACTATTTTCTAGTTCTCAGGCATCTAGTTCCATTTTCTTGCCCAGGACATCCAGTTCTCAGTTGAGAAATCAGGGTGAGACGGGGTGTTCTGGGGAGCGTCGGCTCCGAGGTCTCCAAGGCCTCCCTTTCCGGTGAGGTTGTGGCTCCTCAGCCCCTGGGCTCTGCGCTGTCCCATCCACCCACTGTATATGTCCTCATGCCGCAAGGGCACATTATCATGTTCTTCTTTCATGTCCCTGGGGGCCAGGGGATTAATGTGGGGGCCCTGCCTGCTGCTGTTGAGCAAGTGTGAGTACCAGGTCCCATGGGGCAGCTTCTCCCTTCTGCTTTCCTCATAGGTGGTGGTGAAGTTTATTAAGAAGGAGAAGGTTCTGGAGGATTGTTGGATCGAGGATCCCACACTTGGAAAAGTTACGTTGGAGATATCGATCCTGTCCAGGGTGGAGCACGCCAACATCATAAAGGTGGATAGTGGTTCTCTTTGAGAGATGCCCTGATAGGACTCACAGGAGCATCCTAAACATGCCTGAGGCATCTGGGCAGTGCCGGACCCACATTGTCTCTTCCTAGATCCTGGACATATTCGAGAACCAGAGCTTCTTTCAGCTGGTGATGGAGAAGCATGGCTCTGGCCTGGACCTCTTTGCGTTCATCGACCACCACCCCAGCCTGGATGAGCCGTTGGCCAGTTACATCTTCCGACAGGTGACTCGGCCCGAAGCTGTGTAGGGAGGGTGGCCTGGGGCGCTTTGTCCTAGAGGCTGCACTCAGTTCTCTCTGAGTTACGTGTAGCCTTCAGTTTTTGAGAAGAGAATTTTGTGGTTGAAGTAGAGAAAGTGAGGTTGGGAAGGAAGGATGAGGCCAGATACCTGGAATGATTGGGGAATGATTGAAGTAGGGTTAATGATTGAAGTTTATTTACATACATAGATTATCCACACCAACCTCAAAGTGAGCCAACAGAGCTGTCAGACTGAGCTCTTCGACCTGCAGGTTTGATCTGGGTTTTTGCCTACAACCAGGAAACCACTGCTAACTTGTGCAGCAGCAGTCATTCTAGTGCCTCCACCATGAGGCTGTTTGGGTTAAATGAGACAGCACCTATCTCTAAGGCATACGTGCAGCACGGCGGCCTGGAGGGGCGTGTGGACAGGCGTGCAGCAGGGAGTCCTGAGGGCGGTGTGCTGCAGGATGTCCTGGACAGGGCAGGGATGTGAATAAGGCAGATTTGCTCTTAGACTAACAGTCACTTGGAGGTGACTCAATCTCTAAAGACAACTTCCCTGAATTGACATTGCTTCCTCAAAGCTATAAACTCCCAGAGGTTACTGGATTTCTGAAATTAAGTTTCTGAGGCACCTACTTGTAGTTTCAGGCACCGTGGCTCTGTGCAAGGAATGTTACCTCTCTCCCTCTTCCTTGTTGGAAGATCATATACTCGTCTGCTTTACCTCATGGCAAAGACTTGTTTCTGAAATCTTCATGGTAAAAAGAGTGTCTGTCTGAGGTAACAGTAGTTAAAAGCTGCTGCCTGACTTAATTCTGGGGCTACTGATATAGGTGATTATAGTGTTTGATATTGTACAATTTTTAAAAAAATATATTTTATTGATTTTTTTATATAGAGGAGAGGAGAGGGATAGAGAGTTAGAAACATCAATGAGAGAGAAACATCGATCAGCTGCCTCCTGCACGTCCCCCACTGGGGATGTGCCCGCAACCAAGGTACATGCCCTCGACCGGAATCGAACCTGGGACCCTTCAGTCCGCAGGCCGACGCTCTATCCGCTGAGCCAAACCGGTTAGGGCGATATTGTACAATTTTTGCAGGAAGTATCTGTAGCCCATTAGTAAATCTATATACATAATATTATAGTAAACAGAGTCATTTTGTAGAACTATTATTATCATATGTAAATATGTATACATAATGCCTGTTATCAGTGTGCTGCCTGCTTGGCTGGGGAGTGGAGGGGTGGCGAGTGGGGCCTGTGACCAGCTCTCCTGGCATCTAGGGCATTGGGGACTAGCAGCAGGTCTGTTTTTTTGTCCAGAGTCAGGTTCTCTTGCCCCTTTGTAGTTATAAGCTTGATGAAACTTTCCTTGTTCAGATGAAATGTGGTCTGTTTCCTAACTGGGCCCTGATATGTGTGTATGAACATAAGTGTGTGTGCTCATGTATATGTATGCATGTGTGTGTACAAGCATGTTATAAAAACATGTTTCAGTATGTAAATATGCAGGTGTTTGCATACGTGTATATAAATACATTTATTTTATTATTTTTATTTATTTGTGGTTTTTAAAAAATATATTTCTTTTTTTCTTTTTTTAATATATTTTATTGATTTTTTACAGAGAGGAAGGGAGAGAGATAGAGAGTTAGAAACATCGATGAGAGAGAAACATCGATCAGCCGCCTCCTGCACATCTCCTACTGGGGATGTGCCCGCAACCCAGGTACATGCCCTTGACCGGAATCGAACCTGGGATCTTTCAGTCCGCAGGCCGACGCTCTATCCACTGAGCCAAACCGGTTTCGGCAAAAAATATATTTCTTTATTGATTTCAGAGAGGAAGGGAGAAGGAGAGAGAGATGGAAACATCAATGATGAGAGAGAATCATTGATCGGCTGCCTCCTGCACGCCCCCTACTGGGGATCAAGCCTGCAACCCAGGCATATGCCCTTGGCTGGAATCGAACCTGGGACCCCTCAGTCCGCAGGCTGACACTCTATCCACTGAGCCAAGTCAGCTAGGGCTTATTATTATTTTTTAAATATATTTTATTGATTTTTTACAGAGAAGAAGGGAGAGGGATAGAGAGTTAGAAACATTGATGAGAGAGAAACATCGATCAGCTGCCTCCTGCACACTCCCTACTGGGGATGTGCCCGCAACCAAGGTACAGGCCCTTGACCGGAATCGAACCTGGGACCCTTGAGTCCCCAGGCCGACGCTCTATCCACTGACCCAAACCGGTTAAGGCTAAATACATTTATTGATTGTCAGTTAACCTATCATTAGCCATTGCTTCTGGTTCATAGATACTCATTTGTAAATATACATCTATGAAATCACTATGCTGATGGTACAACTGGTGTCCAATTTATGAATGCAGCCAGAAAGTACCAATCTACTTCAGCTTAACGGAACAGCTACCTTTGTTGGTGTCTGTCACCAAATAGGCAGTGTGGGCCATCCCAGGACCAGGGGACAGCGGTGTATTATAGTAACTTTAGCCTTTCGGAGTGCAGGCTAACACCTTGGGCTCATGGAAATGGAGCCGATTCCAATGGAATTACTCTGAGTCCCCGTGGCTGAGAGTCCTGCATGCGTTGCAGCCAGTGTGGCTGCTGCTGCTTTTTGAGAAGCTGCAGAGCCCTGAAATAATAGTTTGGGAATGTGCTCCTAAACTGCTGTGTGAACTCTGCTGAACCCAACGGCCGGACTTGGGCTTTCTCTGGGGCCACTTCCCATTAGTGTCCACACCACACTCATTAAAATGCTGCCACATGTCTCTGTAGCTTCTGCTTGTGGTCTGTGTCTTTCCTCCTGAGAAGGTCATGGCGTGGGTCGGTGTGTGAGAGGATGTCTGCTGGGAAGTTTTTGTCAGTAGCACAGAGATAGAGAGGACGTAAGAATCATGCATTTGTGTGGGAGGAAAGTGGGCAGCGGAAGGTATAGTATCAGTGATGTAGGTGAGGAGCCCTGTGGTCTGTGGCTCGGCCTGCTACCTGTGGCCATGATGCTGTCGTGTACTTAAAAACGTGAGAAGAGGGTAGATCTTATGTTGTGTCCATGTCACAAATAATAGCAGTGGTACAGTTTTTAAAGTCATGTGTTCTCGTTTGCTGCTTGTCGCGGAGACGTGTGCCAGCCGTGGTGAGCACACTGCCTGGAAGCGCTCTGCCTCCGTGTTGGTCGGGTTGTGTCTGTAGCATCCAGTGGTCTTTCCTGTCACTGTTTCATCATGAGTTAGAGAATGTCTATTTTTCTTTGTTGTTGTTTTCTGTTTTGCTTGTCAGTCCTTATTTTAAATGCATGTTTTGAGTGAACTACTTTGTACAAAGTCCTATGGCCTCTTGGTTTCAGCTGGTGTCGGCAGTGGGGTATCTCCGCTCGAAGAGCATCCTTCACCGGGACATCAAGGATGAGAACATCGTCATTGCCGAGGACTTCACCATTAAGCTCATAGACTTCGGCTCCGCTGCCTACTTGGAAAGGGGCAAACTGTTCTACACCTTCTGTGGGACAATCGAGTACTGTGCGCCCGAAGTTCTCATGGGGAATCCGTACGTATTGCACCACTTGGCCTCGTCATCTGTGAATTTTAGGCAGGGAAAATGTGTGAGGAGGGATAAAGGATGATATTTGGAAAGTGGGCAAACAGGCAAAGGAAGGAAGATTGGTCAGGGGAGCTGGGCAATGAGTACAGGATTCTCTATATTAATTTCTCAACTTTTGTTTATTTGCAGTCTTATACAATTAAAAGTTAAAAAGATAAAGGAATCCCAAAAGATGGGACTCTCCAAATAAGCAAAGAGGAGTCTTGTTCAGTTGGGCTTATTTTGATGACAGGAATAATAATCTGTTCCCATAAAATATGTTGGGCTGGCCATTGATACAGCAGGGAATCAGTAACAGAGGCAGAGCTGAGGCAGCACTGTGCCAGACGGCACCTTGGCTGGAGGTGCTGTTGTGTCTCGCTGGGAGAAGCAGGTCCTGGGGATGCAGGCTGCACTGGTGTCTGTTCCGGAAGCCTAGGGGCTTTGGGGAAGCCTGGGCAGGGCCTGCTTTTGGGGACTCAGGAGAGGAGAGAACACTGATTATTGCTCAGGTGTTGCTGGGGCTGGAGTGCAAACAGTTCTCAGTATTGTCTGCTTCACACACACGAATTTCCATGTCATCCACATCTAATGAAGTGGACTTACTTTGGTCAGATCCAGATAGCAGGCACTTTCCTGCAGCACCTACACATCTGTCAGGTCTAGGGAGACTGTGTCTGGAGGTGCCTGTGACTAGGACAGATGTCAGTGTTGTGTGGGCCTCCCTGCAGTGCTGTGCTACACCCTCAGAGCCCACCTCTGGTCCTGTTCTGATGTGACAGGTGTGTGGGGACATTCAGCCAGACCTGGTCAGAGCTAGATTAGAATCCAGGTGGCCTGAGTCTGGAGCATTTGCTTATGGGCACTGCTGTCTCTGTGCCATGCCTCAGGCTCCCAGAAACTCCCAGCATTGGTGTGAGATGTGACCGGCACTCTGTCACAGTGTCTGCTCAGGTCACGTTTCATTTCAGAGTCAGGCAGAGAGGACTGCAGGATGCTCACGTGGAGTCTGCTGCCCTCCTGATCCACACGCCAGGCTGGCCCTGTGAGCAGAATGATCAGGCTTTTTGTCCACAGCAGAAGGGGGGGTGGGGTGGCTAAATAAACCATCTCCCTGTCACCTCTGTGCACATCTAGAGCCACAGACAGTGACATACTTACGGGGGATCATCCACGAAGAGCCTTTAAGATATAATTTGGTTACCCTGGCACCCCAGAGTGCCAGTGGCTGTTGTCCTGTGGTGCCCATCATGACATCAGTGTTGGAGGGGCCTTTGTGTCCACAGGACCGTGAATGTGCTGGTGGGTGGCTTGTCTGCCCCACTCTCACCCCATGCCTTCCTCCCACTTTCTCCCGGTGGCCCCACCCAGTATCATTTCTGCTCCTTCCTCCCCAGCTGGGCTGTAGGTGTCCTCAGAGCTCCGTCCTCCATCCTGGATGCTTCTCCCATCTCATGGGCCAAAAGACTTCTGAGCTCTGATTCTAGATCCTATCCTCAGGAGCTTTGCTTCCTCCCTCATCATTTTCATGTCTGTCCACTCAAGGGCTCAGCAAACTATGGTCCTGGGCCATATCTGGCCCACTAGTTGTTTTTATAAAGCTTCATTGGCACACAGCCACATGGATTGGCTTATTTATGTCTGTAGCTGCTGCTGTGCTGCCATGGCAGAAAGAAGGGGTAGTGACAGAAGCCGTGTGGCCTGCAGCCCAAATCTACTCTCTGCCATCTCTGAAGGGCACACTGCCCTGTTCTGGAACTGCCTGTGGTTCCCCATGGCCCTGCTGCCTTGCACGCTGCTGTGCCTTCTGTCCATCTCCACTGGGACATCCCCTACACCCCCAGGGGGATGCTATCTCTGATCCCTTGTGCCGTGTACATTGTCCCACCCACTGGTGGGCATTCTGTCTCCTGAATTAGTCTCTCAGCTGCCCAAGCACCATGGCTTTGTGTCTTCTCCCTCTCTTGGCAAGGAGCGGTACCTGACTGGAGCAGATGTGCCGGATATTGAGGATGTGGTCAGGAGCATGTCGAACCTCACTGGGCACCATCTTGGGTGACTGGGGGCTTGGGGCTCACACTCCTTGACTAAGCTGCTGTGTGCCATGAGTGCTGTCTTCTGTCAGTTACAAGGGTCCGGAGCTAGAGATGTGGTCCCTGGGAGTCACGCTGTACACGCTCATCTTTGAGGAGAACCCCTTCTGCGAGCTGGAGGAGACCCTGGAAGCTGCAATAAACCCCCCGTACTTGGTGTCGGAAGGTGAGCAGGGCTGCAGCCGGCATCCCTCCCTCCCTTCTGTCTTCCAGAGCCTTTGTCAGAGCTGCCTTATTTCCATTTCTCTCATACTTTGTTTTTTAATCATTATATGTTTTTATTGATTTTAGAGAGGAAGGGAGAGAGACAGATAGAAACATCAATAATGAGGAGAATTATCAATCAGCTGCCTCCCACATGCCCTCTACTGGGGATTGAGCCTGCAACCCGGGCATGTGTCCTGACTGGGAATCAAACCGTGACCACCTGGTTCATGGGTCGATGCTCAACCACTAAGCCACACCGGCTGGGCCATTCCTCTCATACTTTGATTTGAACAGAAGGATGGTTGGGATCTGACTTTAAAATATCACGATAATTCTATTAGTATGAGCTTCCCCTTTGGATTACAGGGGAATTAGACGTTATTCTGAGAGTTAGGCATTAATGCTTGTGGGTTTGGCCATCAGTGGGAAGCGGGGAAGATGGAGGGACTCAAGCCCCAGGAGCTCCCATGGAAGGAAGCCTTGGGGTGTCTGTCACACCTCGAGCGCCCCATGAGCTGGCAGTGTGAGCTTGATTTGCTTCTGAAGTGAGGACCAGCATGGGAGGCAGATATGAACTTGGTGGCTAGAAAGGACTTACTGAGTCTGCAGCTGGCCCACAGGATTCTGAAGTCCCTTCCAATCTTGACAGTTTGTGATTCCATAGTTGTCACTTACTGTTACGAGTATCAAGGTGACCAGTATCTTCATGCATGAAGTCTGTGCCTTGATTCTTTGCTTGGGTTAGAAGCCTGTGTCTCAGGTGGCTATGACACTCACACAGACAGGGGGCTCAAAAAGCAACCATTTGCTTCTCTGTCTTGAGGCTGGGAGTCCAAGGTCCAGGCACTGGCCTTTTCAGCTGCTGGTGAGAGCCTCTTCCTGTGTTACAGACAGCAGCCTGTTCTGTGTCCTCACGTGGTGAAGAGAGGGACAGAGTGAGCTTTCTGGCCTCTCTTACAAGGGCATCAATACCATCATGGGGCCTCACCTAATCACCCTGGTCACCTCCCAAAGGCCCCACCCCCTCTTACCACCACCATGGTGGCAGGGCTTCAGCATGCGCATTTGAAGGGTCACAATCAGCCCCAGTGACCCAGGAGAGGACTGTAGGGTGCTGCTGATCTCTGGATCCTAGGACTCCTGCAGCCCTTTCCTGTCACACCCTGTGTCATTCTGTGCTCTGCACAATCACAGCCCCTGAGAACAGACCATGGTTAGGGATTTCTGCACAGTGAGTGATGGAGGCAGGATCTCAAGCTCCCAGCTCTCATTTCAGAGGTGACAGATGGCTCTTGTAGCCTTTCTCAAAGCACAGCTGAAGGCCCCATGTGCTGAAAACCTGGAGTTGCTAGTTAAAAGTGAGGGTTCCAGGGCCACATGTCCAGTTGGAGGTGCTCCTGGGGGCAGGTAGGACGTGGTTTTGATGCCCTTCACTTGAGCCCATCCTGGACCACTGATGGTCTTCTGGCCCTATGCTTAGGGTGGGTTTTTATGTCCCCAGATCTCATGAACCTCATGTCTGGGCTGCTGCAGCCTGTCCCCGAGCGGCGCACCACCTTGGAGAAGCTGGTGACAGACCCTTGGGTTACCCAGCCCGTGAACCTTGCAGACTACACCTGGGAGGAAGTGTGTGGAATAAACAAGCCAGGTATGAGGTGTGACCTATGAACCAGAGAGGGTGAGGAGGTTCCCCAGGCTGCCTTCTGGGTCTGGGGAGGCGGGGTAGCTCCCACTCCATGCTGTCCTGTCCTGGATTTACACCTGTGGAGCAAATGGGGCTTGATTCTGAGGTCCCTGAGTGCTACCAGGGTTCAGAGCTTGGCTGTGGTCCTTGGAGGGTGGGGGAGTGCCCATGGACCCAGTGTTGACATGGCACCTACAGAGGAGTTTAGCTGGGGCTTTAAGAGGTGCAGTAGGTAATGGTCTGAGTGGGCTGAAGGGAATGATAAGATCACAGACAGTGAGTGCAGTACTCTGGAGCAGTGGTTCTCAACCTTCTGGCCCTTTAAATACAGTTCCTCATGCTGTGACCCAAACATAAAATTATTTACATTGCTACTTCATAACTGTAATGTTGCTACTGTTATCAATCGTAATGTAAATATCTGATATGCAGGATGGTCTTAGGCGACCCCTGTGAAAGGGTCGTTCGACCGCCAAAGGGGTCGCGACCCACAGGTTGAGAACCACTGCTCTGGAGGCTCCTGGCAGCACAGCCAAGCAGGATCAGCTGTATGGTCACTGCTCAGAGCAGGTGGCCCAGCTGGTGTTGATGGCTCTGGTGTAGAAGCCCCACAGCACCTCAGCAGTCCAGGAACTCTAGGGCTTCGCCAGTTGGGTTCTGAAGAGTCCTGATGTCTTTCAGTCCTGTCCAGAGAGAAGCAAAGTGTTTGAGAATCATGTGTTGTTAGCATGTGATACAATGTCTTCTTTCTTCAGAAAGTAGAGTCATGTCCACTGTGAGTCTGGAGGTGGAGAGCAGGAGCCCCAGTGAAGTGGCTCAGCATCCGGAGCTGGCGGCGCCCCCTAATAGTCCTCATCCATCCAGGAAAAGTAATTCTCAAGATTGAGCCCAATTCACCTAAAAACTCATGTGCATTTGATAAATGCTAGAACAAAAGCCAGTGGTGCTATATTACTTTAGGTTTATAAAATAGACACGGAGTTCATTTTTTTCATGGCCTTGGAAAAACATTGTAGAGTTCAGTACTATGAAAGGACTTTGAATCTGTGAACTTCTGAAAAGCATTTTCAAATTCTCTCTTACTTCTGTATATATTAATATGTTTTGTTTCCTCTGACTCAGTCTATGCTTATCTGATAGGTAGAATTTGTAGAACTGATGACCAGGGTATTTCATTAATTTATTTCCTTGAACATTTTCCAAATTAAAGCAATTTTGTTAGTAAAAATCACACTGACTTGGACTGTATGAATTCTTGTACAATGCAAGTGTGGGGAGCACTGGCAAGAGGTTCACCTTCAGACAGTTTGGGGGGGTCCCTTCCTGGGTGTGGGGCTCTTCAGCTTGCTTAGTCTAAGGAGACTGAGAGTGTGTTCTCAGACACTTCCCTTGTGTCCATGCACAGCTTGTTAGAGTTGGCCCACTGTCTGTCCAGGCTCTGAGGTACAGTGGGCTTTGCAGCAGGACTCTGCTGTTCGCCCACAACACTGCCCTACCCAGTACCCACAGACCTCCTGCAGCCAGAAGTCCAGGTTCCCCCTCTTCAGTGATGTGGGGGCATCCAGCCCTGACTGTCACTGTTCTACCCTTGCTCAGGTCCCAGTGTCTCTCTGAAACAATCAGCTAGCTCAAACACATGAAATCTAGCCTCTATTTTGTATCTGTTGGGAGGGGAGGGATTGATCAGGGGTAAGAGGAAAATCTTTCATTTCCTCCCCACCACACTGAGATAGCAGGAAAAAAACAAAACCCAAGACTCTGCCCCTTTCCCCCACGTCATTACTTTCTGCAGGTTCCAAAGCTCCTCCTGCCCAGAGCCCTCAGGAAGACTTTGGGGGCCAGGCTGCCTGCAGTGTTCCTGTGCTCAGTTTCTAGTGCTCATTTAGGAAGCACTCACTGTGTTAATATTTTAGGACACTCAGATGACAATTCACTTTACTTTCAACTACTAGGATATGGGATTTCACTATCTCCTTCCTTTTATGTATTTATTTTTAAAATATATTTTTATTGATTTCAGAGAGGGAGGAGAAAGATAAAAACAATGATGAGAATCATTGATCTGCTGACTCCTGTACGCCCCCTACTGGGATTGAACCCACAACCCGGGCATATGCCCTGACCTGGAATCAACTGGTTCCTGGGTCAACGCTCAACTGGGCTATCTTCTTCCTTTTAGAAAGTGCTGCCCTAGTCTTCCTGCCATCACAAAACACAGATGGGCTCCCCTCCTCCATCAGGGACGGGAAAGGCAGGGTTTTTAGAAGTCTATTCTTTTGAAGTGTGTAGGAAAAAGCTAGTGATGTTTACTCTTCAGAATTCAAATGAGTTTCTTTATGTTCTAAGAACCATTTTCAAGAGTGGAAAAAACCCCCAAAATTTATCCTCGGAGTGTTTATGATGCTTCTAACAAAAAAAAAATTACAGAATGTTTTCTTCAGACAGGTGTGCAATGGGCTTATAATGCAAAGTCCTTCCTCTTCAAGAACTCTTCCTTCTTTTTAAGAAAAAATAATTAAAACTCATCTGACTTGATGGCAGGAGAAGGTTTGATACTTTAAGAGTGTTCTTTGCGGAAAGAATCCTGGTAGAAAAGTTCTGAGTCGGAGGCTGACATTTTCCTATCCATGCCCCAACTATGAATCCAGAAAGCACAATTTTCAGAACAAAATGAAGATGCTGTGGACCTTGAGCAGTTCCTGCACCTCAGCTGCCCCTTTATTTCCAGAGCTGGAGAACTGCTTAGGTCCCTTGATTATTTCTAGGGTGGGGGTTGCACACAGGATTTTCTTAGCCTTTGGGCATAAAAGCATGACCGTAATTTATTTTGAGGTGCTGATAGATGAGTGTTTTAAGAAGGAAGATTAACCTTCCTTTTCTTTGATAAAATTGTTGTCCAAAAAGATATGTCTTAACACTCAGCCCAGTGCCTGGCACAGAGCAGGTACTTTGTAAATTGTATCCATGCGATAATCAAATACCTTTTCTCAGTTCAGAAACAAGTAGATAAAACATGAAGAAATGCTTGTAAACTAAGATTTGGGTCTTACGAGTGTGGGATTTAGGCAGCTGGGAGAGCACACTGTTTCATTTTCTTTCACAACTACCCTTTTTGGAAAGATGCATAGGCTCTATACCGGAATTACTACAGGTCTAGATAAGAAATTTAGAATTAATACAGTGACAAGGAGAAAATTCTAAGATGTCCTGTGTTAACGTAAAAAACCATTGACACCTGTAAAGAATTTTTGTGAGTTTGAGCCAAACTGTCGACGTATGCCGGGAAGCAGAACCTCAACGAATTGAGATAATGCTCCGGAGAATGGCGGGTTACATCTGTATTTATACATTGCAATTAAAGGAAAGGGATGTAGGTGGGTTACATGAAATCCATTGGTGATAGACTAGAGAGGCGGGAGAAAGCAAAGTGGGGGTGGGTGGGGGGCTGAGGGGGGTGAGGGGAGGGTCTGGGATTGGATAAAAAGTAAAATGATAGACACATACTTAGGTGGGTGCAGGAACATTAACATAATAATGAAGGGATTTGTGGTATCTGTACTGGTTCCCGGCACATTAGGTTGTGCCCCAAGGGCTCCAGAAAAAGGGAAGTTACAAGTCACCCAGATTTTCAAGGGTATGTTATTATAGATGCAAAAAGACACATAGGCTCAGTTAAGGTAAAGGTTGACCTTGTCAGTGAAGATACCAGCCTAGGACATAACTACCCACCATAACTGCTTTTAAAGTTTAATTTCAGACCATCCTTTGTGGTTACTTTAGGTCTCTGAGTTTGCAAGACCGCCATGCAGGTGGCCTTCCCTGAGCTTGTCAGGTTAGCATGTGGCCCTTTCCTCCACACCTGAATTAATTACAGCGGCCAGAGGGTGGAAGGAGAGACAAGAAGTTAATCAGTTAACAGCAGGGCAAAAACAACAAAAGATGGTTCACATTCCTGAGTGTGTGTTGGAACTTTGAACTTCCAGGTGCCTATTTCCATGATTATCCAGAGAACAGCCAGGTGCCACTGCCCCCCAGGTGTGTGACTTTTCATACTGTTGCCCATACTCTTCCTTTGGACTCTGTTGCCTGTCCTGGAACCAGCCCGCCTCACCTCCTCTACCTTTATCTATGGCGATGTCAGTTTTTTTAATCAACTTGCATCTTTCTTCTCCTATGTGGTGTACAGAGTCCCTCAGACCCAGTACTGTGGGCACGTGCTCTTGTTACAGAACTTACCAGGCGACTGAAAAATACACAGGAGATATAGGAAAAACCCATTTATTTTCAGATGTACTAGTACTGTGACTCAGGGGAGCCTATTTCCAAATCCTGAGTAAGCCAATATGGAGGAAGCTTTCTCTTTATACCCTTTGGTTTCTTTGTCCCCCAAATATGGATCATATTTCTGGAACTTGCGCGGGCTTTGCAAAAAGCCCCGTGTGTTGGGATAGGGGCCGTGAGACCACACCTAAAGGCCTGGCCTGGCGCCAGCACTGATAACTGTTAGGTTTATGGCCTCTGTAAAATGGGAGTATTTAGGTAAATAGGTCTTGCAAGACCAGATAATTAAGGAAGGGGCAGTGACTACCAGGGGTGGGCAAACTTTTTGACTCGAGGGCCACAATGGGTTCTTAAACTGGACCGGAGGGCCGGAACAAAAGCATGGATGGAGTGTTTGTGTGAACTAATATAAATTCAAAGTAAACATCATTACATAAAAGGGTACGGTCTTTTTTTTTTATTAGTTTTATTCATTTCAAACGGGCCGGAAACGGCCCGCAGGCCGTAGTTTGCCCACGGCTGGACTAGACTGTAGGCTAACAGGAATGTGCATTAGGGATAGAGTCAGGCTGCTAGCAACCCCCCCCCCCCCAAATGTCTTATTTTCCTCTTCACTCTCACCTAGCCCCGCTGTGGTGGTTCAGGCTGATGTCCCAGGACCCCGCCTGCTGGGCAAGATTTTTGTTTAACAAGTTCGGCTGAAACATCACTGGCTTTCATCCTAAGAGAAAACCAGACCCTAGTGGCGAGGGTTGTGTTTCTAGCAGTGGTTCTCAACTTTCTGGCCCTTTAAATACAGTTCCTCATGTTGTGACCCAACCATAAAATTATTTTCGTTGCTACTTCATAACTGTAATGTTGCTACTGTTATGAATCATAATGTAAATGTCTGATATGCAGGATGGTCTTAGGCGACCCCTGTGAAAGGGTCATTCGACCGCCAAAGGGGTCGTGACCCACAGGTTGAGAACCGCTGAAGGGGAAATGTGCTGCAGTTCCTGCCGTCCTATTCCTGGACAACTGGACTTATGTAGTTTCTCTGGAGACTAGACATCTCTGGGCTATACCTACCATCTTTAGTGTGTGTGTGTGTGTGTGTGTGTGTGAGTGTGTGTGTCCTCAGCATTCATGCTGAACGCAGATTTTCTTAAAACATCATTGCCTGGCTGCATGCTTGTTCGGGTCACCGTGTCCCCGCACGTGCTACGTCTGGGGAGGCTATTGCTTATGAGACAGCAGCACAGCACGTGGCCCGTCTGCACCTCCGGGGAGATTCTGAACTGCGGCGCGGGCACGCGGCACGTTCTGACTGGAGCCACGGCGAACGCGCTTCCCCACCCTCCCGCTTGTAATGGGGAGGGCGGAAGCACAGGACCGGGGAGGGCGGAAGTGGCGGAACGAAGAGGCTCTACTTTCCGGCGCAGGAGTGGCAGCGTCGCGATCGCACTATGGCGGCGCTCGGGCGGCAGGTGAGGTCGCGCAGGGCAGGGCTCTTGGCGGGCCGCGGGCGGGGCCGGCTGTTTCACGACAGCCCGTGGCATCTTGTAGCCGCAGCCTTCAGGGAGGCCGGTGCCCGCTGACCGGGGGCCGCCCCTGCCCCGAGGAGGCAGCCGCTGGACCGGTGGCCGGGAGGGAGGGGAAGCCGGGAGCGGCGACTTACTGCCGGGTCCTCGGCGGGAAGGCGGGGCTGCCCGGTGACGTGCTTGGTTTGCTCTGCGCGAGCGGGAACCGCGGAAGGTTTTGAAGCAAAGGAGCTATTCTGTATGCGAGTTGGCTGGCAGGATGCGTATATACAACAGGGTTGCTTTGCGGAATGTATGTTGCTACGTGAATCTGGAGACGAGTATGAGATCCAGATTTCAGGAGTGGGTACCAGCTCGGCCCCCCAGAGTTGGCACGAAAATTGTTGTAAACTAAAGACATTTGAGATTCAGCAGATGCAGGAAGAAGCGTCGTCGGATTTTCTCTCACCACAAAGCAGAAAATTCTGGGAGTGAGGCCGCCATGGATCCTCTCTCCTAGGGAGTTAGTGGCCATGAAGGAAAAAAAAAAGTGGACCACTTGCATCTGTGTAGACAAACACTATGGCAGACTTTCCTATCTCCCGTTGTTCCCCTGGAAACCCATTTGTGCTTCTTAAGTTATTAGCCCCCACCTTTAGCCACCTAGGGAGCTAGCTGCCTCTTTGGTTAGGTTCCATATACATACTAAGAAACTTGGAGGCTTTTTTTCTTCTGTTAATCTGACTAAATGTGTAGGCCCCCAGGCACTGAACCTTAGCAGATAAGAGGAAAAGCCCTCCTCTAAACGTAACCAGGTGGCCTTTAACTAGTTCTCCCTGTCCCCCCTGCCCCTGTCCCCACTGCCCCTGTCCTCTCAGTTGTGGCAGCAGAAGCTAATAGGGACTGTTTGACTCTGTTCTCTGTGTGTGGACCTCTTCTAGGTTTTTAAAGTTCAGATGTGGTTTTGCAGATTTCTTACAAAATCGGTTATGTTTGTGTGGGACTCTGCTCACAACCCTGTGGGTTCCCATTACATGGAGTGGTGAGGGAGTGACTCCCTTTTGTATTACATTTTACAGGTCTTGGATTGGCATCGCCTGATCCCCCTCTCCTGGGCCAGCATCTCGAGGCAGACGCCTCATTTTGGAGAACAGAAAAGGGCAACGGATTCCTTGCTGCGTAAACTGACTACAGCCTCCAGTGGAGGGGCCCTTAAGGGGTTACCCCATGTCCAACCCAGAAAGTATGTGCAGGAACTAGAGTGCAGGACAAGCCTTACTCAGTGCCTCCTTGAGAAGCAGAGGGCTCCTGTGGATGGAGGGTCTTCGGAGCGAGAGGAGGTCATCAGTTCCCTCCTGGACATGGGTTTCACTGATGTCCATATCCAAGAATTGCTCAGTATACAACCAAGTCCCCACCCTCAACAGTTGCTGGCTGTCATCTCAAAGTTAATACTCTTGGGTGTGAATCCAGAGCCTGTGTGCGTGGCCTTGAAGAAAAGTCCCCAATTATTGAAACTGCCTATAATGCATATGGAGAAGCGCTCCAGTTACCTTCGAAAGCTTGGGATTGGAGAAGGTACGAAGTGTGGATTCTGTATATAGTGCTGAGTCATTCTGAGCTGGAATACAAATAGCCTAGGTGAGATGGGTTTAGGGAGGTTTCTGGGAGAAAGTTCTTGAGAGGAATGTGTGATTTGGTTTGGAGGTGAGGCAGCAGGCATTGCAGGAAGGAAGGGGGAATTGAATGACAGGCAGGGACTCTTGTCTGGATTGCTCACCTTGGGGACTCAGCATCTAGAACAGTGGTGGGCACATGATGCATGCTCAGCAGGTAGATGTTAATCTGTGATGTTGTGTAAGTGGGCATTTGTAACCTTTGATGTTTAAGTAACTGGATGTGGACTTAATGGTTTGTATCTGTATGATGTAAAGCCAGAGACTTACAGAGTCCCTTGTAAAGACTGGATCCCAGCTGGGTGTCTTGACATACTGTGGAACATGAGATCTTACCAGATTCCTGGGAAGCTGGTGGAGTGGCTGTCTCCTGCAGACACTATCCTCACCCCCATCAGGTTTTATGCTTCCAGGATCCTAGAAGTTCATTGGATCTCTTTATGGGCCTCTGGAGAAGGGGGGATAGGGGCCCATGAGGGTCTCCAATTTGACCACAGGAGTTCCACTATTTTATATATTTTTTATTAATTTAATTTTTTATTTTACTTTATTTTATTTTATAGTGTAATCTGATAGGCCAAACTTAATGCCTTATGCACTGTTACATAAATTGGCAAGCTCAACACAGCTTTAAGCTGCAAAGATAAAGTCTAAATTTCTGAAAGTCATTCCTGACCATTTTATCAAGGCAGTGACTAACTCAACTGTTAGGAAGATTTTAATTAACAGTTTGAGTAAGTGATTTTAAGTTTCTAGGTGCTAATTTCCCCCCAACTGTCCATAGGAAACTATATATTCTAGGGCAGTCTCGATTTATACATTTATCCTAATACAGTTAATAGGGCCTCTTTCACTTAAAGTGCCCCAGTTTGGGTAAAACATATGGTCTTCTCACTAACTTGGAATCAGTAGTTGTGGTTGTGCATTGTTGTTACCCCACTAAGTATTGTCATGGATCATCTTCCCATGACTTTTACTATGGAAGGAACCTCAGCCCAAAGCCCCCGCTTGGGGGACACTACTATCCCATCTTACTGTCTGACTTTTCCAGTCAGTCCTTGGGAAATTCTTTTCTAGGTGAGGAGGGCAGAAGGAGACCTAGAATATGAAGTACGCACCTGTCAGCTGGGAAGCCAGAAGGAGGCAGGAATGCCAGGGAGGGAGGGAGGGTTGTCCAGTCTGAGGAATGAGAGCATCAGCGGAGTGATGGGCTGTTCTGGTTTCCCACTTCCATGGTGCTGCTGGAAGACCTCGGAGGCTGGCACCTATTTGGGGGGTGTCCGTGTTCATTTTGAAATGCTGGCTTGACTTGGGCACAGCTAGCTCCTTTTCTGAAATATCCTTTGTGTTCTACAGGGAAACTAAAGAGGGTGCTTCACTGTTGCCCCGAAATTTTCACCATGCATCAGCGGGACATTGACCGCATCGTCAAGGTGCTCAGGGAGAAGTGCCTTTTCACGGTTCAGCAAGTGGCTGAGATTTTGCACAGATGTCCCTATGTTCTTCGGGAGGACCCGGGGGAGCTGGAATACAAATTCCAGGTGAGAGTGGCAGAGTGACTGGAGGACCCACAGCGGACTCTGGAATGTAGCAGGGTCAGCTCTGTGGGTAAGAAGCATGGGATACCCCCTGGCCAAAGAACCTGGTTTTGGTGCTTTCATGTCCGCACAGGTGAGATGGATTCTGCAGCTTTCCTGTATTAACAGTGAGTAACCTGCCCCATTCTCAGAGTCCGAGTGGGGCCTCTGTTTGAAATAGCTAATTTAGAAATAGGTAAACCTTCCTATCTTTAGAGCCTGTTTTGCATGTTGATATCAGAAATGATTATGACACCTGTCCTAATTTTTTTGGTAAACAGTTATGATGACTTAGGTCAAATCTCTAGATGTTTCCTGATTCATTGTTTTCTTCCCCCATCTAAAGAGAAATAGAACTCCTGCTCTTTATTTCCTGCAACAAGAATTTGAAAATGCTTTGAAACTTGTCACCCATCCATCATGCAGATGTGGGTGTCAGAGGGTGCCCTGTCTTGTTGGTTAGGTGCGCTTCCTGAATGCTTTTGCACAGTTGAGTTTGCTGTGACTGTGGAAGAACAGGTCTGAGGACCCTCCCTGAATCCTAACCTGCCTGTGTCTCCAGTATGCCTACTTTAGGATGGGGGTGAATCACTCGGATATGGTGAGGACCGACTTCCTGCAGTACTCCATCACCAAGATCAGGCAGAGACACACGTTCCTGGAGCGCCTAGGACGGTACCAGACCCCGGATAAGAAGGGGCAGACGCAGATCCCCAACCCTCTTGTCAAGGACATTCTCAGAGTTTCAGAAGCTGAGTTTCTGTCCAGGACGGCCTATTCTACTGCTGAGGAGTTTGAAGTTTTTAAGAAGCTCCTGGCTCGGGAGGAGGAAGAGGAGTCTGAGAGCCACATGTCTGGTGACGAAAGCAGTAGTGAGGAAGAGGAGGAGGAGGATGAGGACGAGGACTAGGAGGAGGAGGAGCTGTGATACAAGGCCCAGAGACATTAAAGGACATTTTAGTTCTCTCAGCTTTTGGAGCTTCACGTCCTTGGACCTTCTCAGGCTATTTTTCATTCTAAAACTAGTGTTTTGATGAAAAATTATTATAGATCACCTGAGAAGTAGGTCAGACTGAGTTGGAGGTTGGTTAGTTTGATTTGTTGTCAGGTCTCTGGGGAGAGCCCTGCTCCATCGAAAATAAAGACTGTCAGCAGTTGGAATTGGGAACTCAGTGCATCGAAATTTGGTTTTATTTTCTCTGTCGTAGCTGTGGGTGATGTTCCATGACAGTGTGGGGGACAAGGACCTTCTTCTGGTTCTAGTCATTTTACATTTCCTTCTAGTGGTAAGGATACAATTATGAGAATGCAGGGAGGCTTTAGTACATTATAGCACTTTATTTTATGAAAACAAGTAGCAGGTTTTCCACAAAAATACTCATGTTTTTAATCTAAAAATATTACTTCATAGTTGCATTCAGTGTACAGCAGAGTAGAGGGAAGTGGGTCAGTTTGGCTTCATTTTGCACAGGTTCTTCCTGCCAGCACAGTGCTGGGCACTTCTCTCTCTTGTGAGGAGCAGGCCCTGGCTCTGACCTCAGGGAATTTGGCTTTCATGCCTGCTCATGGCCAGCGGGTCATGTCAGGGCCTGATGTCTCTAGCAGGCAGCAGTGCTGACCTGGGGCATGCCAGAACAGAAGGAGCCATGGGGCAGATACAGTCAGGCATCCCCCACCTTTTAGGGGGCTTTGGAGGCCAGAGGAGAAGAGCACGTGAACACAGCCAGGGGCCAAGGGTCTGGTGGTTGTGCAATCCAGGAGCTCTCCGTGACAACCACGGGGAGGAAGTCCCCTAGGGAACCCAGTAGGTCTAAGCAGTGACTTGAAGCATTAAGTCAGAGGCCCAGACCTGAGGGCATGAGCTCTATGATGGGGGGTGTGGGGGGGAAGGGTGGGTACATCCTAAGATGTTCTGGGTACCCCTCTTTGGGCTAATGCTGCAGAGAAGAATTTTGGTGATGTGACCAGAGTGTAGGCTGGTAGCACTTAGAACCTTTAGGCTCCTAGCTCTTTCCTGCAGACCATGTGAGAATACTGTCAGGCCCTGTTCTCACCCGAGGCCATCCTGACCAGGGAACATCTGGGGACATTTTTGGTTGTTAGGACCAGGAGAAGGAGCAGTTGGGACCCAGTGGGTTGAGGCCAGGGCTGCTGTCAAATGCCCTGCTGTGCACAGGACAGTCCGCACAGAATGACCAGCCCTAATGTCTCTGGCTGAGGTGAAGAAACAGCTCTCAGGCCTGGGCCCGCAAAATATGACCGTATCGGCTCATGAGAACCTCCGGTTTTAAATGGGCTTACATTTGTTGTATTTATTTTATTTAAAAGGAAAATAAATCGTTTTTAAAGAGAGTTCCTTTCCCTGTGCTCTGGATTGCAGTTGGCTGACTTGAGCTTTATTTTACAAGGGAATTCAGTGCTGAATCAAAACAATCATGCTTTTGCTTTCTCTTGGCTCCGGGACTGCAGAGAGAGGCACTGTGTGCAAAACAAGTAGCTCAGGGAACCTCTGGACGTGTGAGCCAGACATCTGTGGCCCTGGCTGGCCAGCGGGAGGCGGTCCAGCTAAAGGAAGGTGCTGGAGCTCGGTGACACGAAGTGGCCCTTGCCTGCTGAACTCCCTGGTGGCGAGTAGCTCCGTTTCCTCTGTGACAGCCATGTGCAGTGGGGAAAGGGGACATTCTGTCTTTACTGCCTTTCTTGGCCAGAGACAACATTTTTGAAAAAGAAAATACTTCACCACATGCCAGTGTTTTCACTTACTCTCCATTTTGTGGTGTCCAAGTGACCAGCATGTTCCCTGGAGCCTACAGTGTGGTTTTTGTGCCCAGTTAGGAGACACAGTGGAACCCTAAATCCCAAATCTACACCTAATTGGATGGTCAGGTCACCCAGCCTGGTCAGCAGGTGGCTAACTCTGCAACTCAAAGTTGCTCCCCTGTGATTTTGACACAGAAGTAAATGTTGATGCCCTGACAATTTTCTGATCCATTATCAATTTCTTTGGGTGGACATTGAGTATTTTCAAGGAAGAAGAGTTTTATGAAGGAGCCATGTGGAAGCTCGTTTGGAGTGTTTCAAGGATGATTTGTAATTTCCTTTAGTGTCAGGAAGTCTTTGTACTAGATATTTAATTTGTACAACATCAAAATGGGCTAATTGTAAGACCACACGGCACTAAGCCCAGGATTCAGTAGACTTGTAAAAACAAATGCTTCTGAGCTAAAATCGAGCACGTCTGCCTCATGGCTGAGGGGCTTGAGGTCATTAACATGGTCACAGAAAGTTTCATCTGCTTTTCCAGTGATGCCACTTGGTCTTGTCATTTGCTGGTGATGCTGTAGCTTATGTGGACACACAGTGACAGGTCGCAGTGCCGCAGCAGGAGTCAGCGGCATGTGTTCATGGTCATGGTTTTCTCCTTTCACCCAGGGTTGGAGCCCCTTGATGGAGCTTGTGCCTTCAGATGGCCCTGAGACGGAGCGCAGTAGAGATTTCTGGAAATGACTAATCCTCCTTTCTGAAAATGACAAGTATACTACACAGACACATGTACACACAACTTTAATAAAAAAACCCACTCTAAAATATACTCTTAACTCTTTAAAAAATGTTTTGTAAAGATGAGAGGAAGGAGCTCTTCCTATGGCTGCAAAACTGACTTGGGCAGTGTCAGTGAAGACGCACCAGGGCTCTGGTTCCAGTTGGGTCGGCTGTTAAAGTGCCCAGCAGGTGGAGGTGGGCTGGCTTCTGTAGTGGCCTCACTTGCAGGGAGGAAAGCTGTTCAGAAGGCTCTGGAATGCGGTGTGGCGATGATGCGCAATGCTGGGAGCTGTTTAGTGTGGAGATGGTGCTTGCTGCCTGGTAGTCTGAAACTGTGTTGCCTGAGTTGTGGATTAAAAGGATCTTAAACATCGTTTGGCCTCACCCGCCCCAGATGCCTGTCTTCATTACTCAGACCTGTAAGGAGGAGCCCTGGCTACCGCCAAGTGCCTTCCCAAACAGGGTTTGTGTAGCAATTCCATGACACTCCGGGTGGGTCTTTGGTGCCATGCTGTGACTTGTCGTCTGGGATGGCTTTCTCTGCATCAGGCTGAAGCCTGAGTGGGGTTAGCCACATATGGTCAAGGGGAAGTGGCCCCCAATTTTGTAAATCAAGTTTTATTGGAACAGCCTCACCGGATTAGGCACATGTCAATGGCTGTTTTTGTGCACAAGCGCAGGGCTGTTGTTGCCACAGAGACCATCCGGTCGACAAAGTCAAAGATATTTCCTGCCTGACCCTTTCTGGGAAAAGTGGTAGACTAAAAGTGTCTAAACTCCAGTTTAGTATGATATGAACATTTTCTCTTTCAAAATCTGCTGGTTGGTGGATGGATCACTAGCCTTCACCTCCCTCCGTAAATGACCTGCTGGGGAGGTGAGCCAGCTTCCCTGTGCCCCTCATCAGTCTGCCCTCCTTGCCTCCCAGCCCCACCCTCTGCTCTGCAGGTTGTCGATGGCAGCTCCTCCTCATTTTGGCTCTTGGGTTTCAAAGGGAGAATTCTTTCTCTGATTTAGAATCTGGAACTAGTTTCTGGATGTTGCTGAGGCTTCATCCAGTGCTCTCCGCACATGGTGGCTGCTCGTCAGCGATGCAGGCCACCCTGGAGAAACTTCGAGCCCTGTGCTGGAGGCAGTGTGGGACTAGGAGGTGTCTGACCTAGAGGACCTCCCTGGCTGGACCTGTCTGGCCATCTGTCTTCTAGAGGCCGGAGGAGCGAAGCCACAGAGGGGACAGACTCCAGCCAGGACCTTGTCACTCAGGGTGTTCTTGTCAATTCAATTTAGACCTCATCTTCCAGGGCTTTAGAAACTTGTGAGGTTGGTGGATTATAGCAAGAATGTCCAGAGTCCTTTGAAGAAAAAGAAAGGGGGGGGGGCATGAGGAGAATGGTACCCTTATCTCTGAGACGGTGACTTCTCATCTCGCTTAGTGCCTTCGGTCGCTGCCCAGGCCCCATGTTGCCACATCAGAACTGTGAGGTCCTTGCCCTCTAACATGGCCGTACACAGGGTGGGCAGGTTTGTTGAGGACTGACCATGTCCCCTGGGGTAGGGGCCTTTCAGCAGCATCACAGGCCGCTCCCCCATTTGGTGATGCCCTTGATCTTTCCTTGCAGGCATGCTGCCCCATTACTCTGGGTTGAAATGAGTTCTTATGTGGTGGCTTTGGTGTATGACTGTGTCTGTGTATTTCTGTGTCCTGTTGGTTCGTGTTTTCTCCATTGTTTCAAGAATTAGTATTGTAAAAGCCAGTGGAGGGTTTCTGATTTGTTTTTAGAGAAATGGATTTGTTGAGCAACTTTTTAAAAAATATATTATCCTTTCAGGCGACTTATTACAATATAAATATTTGAAACCCAAATCATATTTGTGGGTTCTTGATCCCAGTACTGAATTGCTTGCAGGGCTTGGAGTATGTGTTTTGGATACGCATGTCTTTGGAGCCTGCGGTGGGGGGTGATGCCTTTGAGTGACTTCACATCTGATGGGACGGCAGCTGGAGGCCATGGTTCTTCATGGCACTTCCCAACTGCAGATCCCTGCCTGGGTAGTGTGAGCTCACAACTGCAAGGCTCTTTTGCTTCTGGTTGTTGGTAAAGGTCTCTGAATAACATTCCTCAGCCATATTGTGACCATGGCTTGTGTGAAGCTGCGTGTACCCGGAGCACCTCCCTCTCCTACCACATCGGCAGTGGGCTATTTGGCTCATTGATGGAGTGAGAGCAGTGAGCTGTCCCAGGCCCCCAAGTGACATCATGTTGACAAGAACCTGTGGTCAGTGGGAAGCTCGGTATCTTTCAAATGACTGTGAAGACTTGGGCCGCTTACATGTGGGGAGGTGGAGCCCCAATAGGGTTTGGGAAATGTTAGGTGAAATCAGAGTCAGGAAGCTTCTTTCATCTCAAGGTTTCTGAATGCTCCTAAGCACTCTCTCAGTGACAGAGTCTTTAGGACCTCCCAGAAGTTGTGACTAAGGCCCCACACCCTGTTTTTTCTTTCAATAGATGGCCATTTACGGGTCTGGAAAGCACTCCCTTAAATCCCCAGCCCCTAGCATTCCTGTGTCCCCCACCCTGTTTCTTGGTTCCCTTGAGACAAAGCAGTTTGTCTTCCCTGCAGAGAGCTTCATTTCTACCTGAAGATGTATCTGTCACAGGTTTGTCTACTGGGAGGCCTTATGTACTCTTTTTCTCACCCAGCTCCCTTGGAATTCTGAAGCCTGGTCTAGGCTTTCATAACAAGAGCCTCCCTGGAGCTCTCCTAGCTGCTGCGAATG